GAATGTTAAGATTAGACACAGATTTTAAGAATTAAGATTGAATGTAAAAACACACAAGTGTATTGCAATAAAAATTCGATAGGATATTACAAATAACAACGAAAGAGAAAAATGTAAGTGCTCACAAAAGACAAAAAGCAGGTGTGTATGTGCATGTGTGTGTGTGTGTGGCACAGCAGCAGGGCTTTTCCGTCCTGTCAATGGAAAACATCAGTGTCATGCCCCCACTCACACACACACACACACACCCATCACCCTCCCCCTCCCCCTCCTCCTTTAATTCACTCCATCAACACTTCCTCCTTTAGCCTGTTAGTGTCACACTGCATTTCCTCTCCGGCCTCAACTGGACCGCCTCCCCACGACCCGCCCCGGTTTTGGGTTTCCCCCGAACGGCGAAAGGGCTTCAAAGTCAATAAGTACTTTTTTGATTTTTATTGACCCCAAAGACTTGGCTGCTCACTGCCCCCCCCCCCCCCCCCCCCCCCCGCCGGCGGACCCGCCTCCCCACGACCCGCCCCGGTTTTGGGTTTCCCCCGAACGGCGAAAGGGCTTCAAAGTCAATAAGTACTTTTTTGATTTTTATTGACCCCAAAGACTCGGCTGCTCACTGCCCCCCACCCCCTTCTGCCCCCACGTTTCTTTAAGGGGGGGATAAATTACAGTAGGTGAGGCGAGGGTGGGGGGGGGGTTGAAAGCAGTGTTGTTGGTGATTGCACCTGCAACTCATTTAACAAGGTGTTCAGAACTGTTCAGCCTTCAGCACCTCTCAGCATCTGTGAGTCCCACAGAGGAGCGACGGCGTGTTAAAAAAAAAACCCAAACTACGTAGTCCTGGAGAAATTAGAATTCAACAAAAACGGTTCAAATTTAATGTTATTTCTCGACCATAATTTAATCCATGCAGCCACATGGGGCGCTTTGACGTAACTGGAGCATATTTAAGGTTAACAGGACTTCACATGTCTTCAGTGAGCCGTATTTTATTTACAGGGAACCATTGAAGCGTCGGGGTTGATTCAAACCTCCGCACTTACCTGTTTTTACTGGCTCTACGCCACATGTCAGAGACACACACACACACACACACACACTCCGTTTGCTCCGTTTCCACAGCGTAAAGGACCTTTCATATCATGTGGCCTCAATATGAAACACTATTCTTTTTACTCCACTATTATCTGATGGCTGCAGTTACTTTGCAGATCAAGATGTTCAACATTCACATAAAACGGAATCATAAAATATTGGTTTTGTCTTGGAAGATATTCCCTGACTTTCCAGGAAGTTTCTAAAGTTAGTTTGATGACTTTTGATCCAGAAAGTGGTGGCAAACATTTAAAAAAATATAATTAATTTATATTTTAGTTGTGTTTTTATATGACGTTTATCATTGTTTTTGTCCTTTGTCTTTGGCGTTTCTGTGAAAATCACAGAAAATACATTTATTTTTGGAAAGCATAGCTCTACTAGCTTACATGTTAGCTGACAATTTCAGAGTGGAATAATGCCTGTCAGGTTTGCACTTTTTAGTGATTACAATCTGTGGCCACAGGGGGCACTGCAAAGCCTGTAAAGTCTAACTGTAATTGGAACAAATAGGACATATGGTCTAAATGTGGAATTCGGTGAATCACCAGATGAAAATCACTGGGGCATTAAATCGTTCTTTAACAATTTCTTTTATCACAGATGCAGAATTTTTTTTTTTTTTTTAAAGGAAATATGCTTTTATTTCACGCCGCGCGATTCCCTGAGGACAGAAAGGTGGAGAAAGTGCAGAGGGTCTGTAGGTAATAAAGTGCACTGTGACTTCCTGTGATCTTTTTTGGGGTAGTCAAGTCTCTAATGGCTCACCTTGTGTCCTGCGTGTCATTTCCTTTTGATGTGATGGGGCAGTGATGATCAGTGATCTGGCTGCGTGTAGTAAAGAGCTCTCAGCAGGCACTTTTAATTACCGGGGGGACAGATTTTGGCCGCCGAGCCCACGGCGTCTGGTTTTTATTTCCAACTGCAGACGGACTGTAAAACAACACTAGCAGCGCTGTCACCCTAAACCGAAGCGGCTCATGTACAAAAGCGTCCGGGGCCCTGATTATCATTCTGTGTGAGGAATGTGAGCGACAGTCTCTCCTGTTTTTACTTACCGTCCTCCTCCTTCCTCCTTTCCTCTCTCCCCTTCCCCTTCGAGTATCTTTTTGCACACACATAAAAACCCATGTCAAGTGCACATGCTACATGTTCTATCTGCAGCAAATCAGAGCCAGGTGCGTCCGGATGAGAGGGTTCATATTAGCGGGATATTGCTAACATCTGTGCGCTGTGCTGCGTGTCCTCATCGTCTCCATCCCTGTATGACAGTGAAACGCTGTGGAGAGCGGGAGCAGCTAGAGCTGGTGACTGTGCACTGTTTGTTCTGCTGCCAGAGGGCCTGACATGTGGGGGGGAGGGGGGGGGGCAGTGGGTCCTAACCTGTCCAACTGTGGACCACGATGTTTTGGTAGGAGAGAAAACTGCTTTGTTAGGTTCCTGCGGTGCCCACATGGTACTATTGAAATGGCAGACTGGTTTCAGCCCATAAGTGGCAATAAATTACAGGCCTTGTGTTGGCCCACATCCTGTGTCTACTGATCCACTGGTGTTTGTGGGCTTTATCAGTTTTTCACACTTTAAATTATGCTGTTATTTACAAGATGAACATGTCTATTAAAAACTAATCAAACGCTTAAAATGTAATTGATTAATAAATCACCATTATGGTCTAAAACAAGACTTAAGATTTTACAAAACAAAATATAATTTTTTTTTTTTAAATCCATATACATTTTTTATGTTGTCACCCCCTGGTGGGCGTTTTGGAAGAACAACTTTTAGCCACTTCAATCGGTCACCTTTTAATCCTACCTAAGAGTTGGCTTGTGTTTTATTCTGTTAATGTTGAAGTCGACCTGTGATGTGACGACGTTTAAACTGAAGTTACTGCTGTTTACTGATTAATGGAGTCAAACGACACCTTGTCAGTGTGTGGTATTTACTGCAGTGTGATTGACCGACAGGAGGGTAGTTCTGAAATACGTTTGAAATGAGATGAAATAGATGTCAGTGGATCTGCCAATGGATGGAGGGCTGCAGGTCAGGAGTCCGAGTCTGAGTGACAGGGAAAACTGTCAACATCCATCTCCATCCCTTTAGTCACTGACGTGGTCCAACACGTGGCCCAAAAACCACAGCACGTCTTCATGATGTGGTGACGGTGGACGACGTGCTCAGGATTCAGTGAACAAAGTCTCACCCACACACAGAGGACAAGGAAACGACGGTGAAGGTGAACCTGACCTGACTGAAGAACAGAGTCTGGTTAGTGATGGGACTGAAGATGGAATTATTAAAAAAATATTCAACAAGTCCAAAGAGAAGAATTTTAACAAATAAAACACAAGGATCAAAATGGCAGGACATCACAGCAGGACAGACACGTGTTTGAAATATGTCTTTAAATACTTCAAATGCTGAGGAAACATTTTTTTTTCCCTGTGCGTACATGTCCAATCCTAGATCTTGGATCCTTCCGTTTCCTTCCTCGTCTCAACAGTCGTGAGATTCTTCGACTGCAGCTTGGACATGTGTGAAACATTTAACATCCCTGAAAAAGAAAACTCACCAAGAAAACATGCTAAAAAGGAAATAAAGTAAGAAAGAAAGAAAAAAAAAACTGTCCAGAAGCATCCGCCCCCGTCTTCCTCCTCCTCCCTCTTCATCCTCCTCCTCCTCCCTCTACTTTCCTGATTCTGATAACAACAGCTGAGTCTCGCAGTCGATTTACACCCGTCTTTGTTTCCCCGGCAAATATTTTTTCCTCCATCTCGCAGCAAATCTGCCACAGCGCAGAAACGCCTCCGTACGACGCTATAGAGACGCTACATTCCAGTCTTTTGTCCTCGCTCGGCTGCTGGGAGCAGCTGCTTCAGACCCACCGCCCCTTTTTTATATCTCACCTTGTTGTTTGGAGGATGAGAACTGCGGGCCCCTCTGAGAGCATCACACACATTCCTTCGCCTTAACAGCCCCCACCACCACCACCACCACCCTCGTACTCGTTTTTCTGCCCCCTTGATTGCTGCCCCTTCTTCTGAAAGGGACGTCCACGTTGTTTAACGTCCAGAAGAAGACAATGGACCACTTGAGCTTTGACCCCAGTGAGGAAAACACTGGTTTAATCTGATGTTGAAATTCTCTGCTGCCATTGTCTGATATTAGGACAGAGCCCACCCAGGGAAGATGGCCGCTCTCTTCATGTCTGCTGACCCTGTGTTCACCCTGCACACTGTCACTCACCCACCTCTCCCCCTCAGCCCCCCACACTCACACACCCCCCCACCCCTTTCATCACCACAGAGACAAACTGATGAGCCTATAACTTCCTCTTCACTTCTTTATATTGATCAGGGACAAGTACAGTTCTGTCTCTGGGGTCGGGGGGGAAGTTTGTCTTCAGTGTCGCTTCAGATCATCCAAATAACTGAGGTTTTGGTTTGACTTAGTAGATGGTGCATAAAAACTGGACGTAGACCTGCAGGTCTGGTGGTGCAGCGGCCGTCCAAAAATTAACAAAGGGCAAAAAAAAAAAAGTCACGAATCACCAAATTCCACACTCGAATCAGAAACTATATTTCAAAGTCATTTTTAATTTTTGTCAGTTAATCTATGTATTTTACAATTTATACAGTTTATAAGAATAGATTATTTTGGTTAAAAACATTTTAGGTGATTATTTTACACGGTACTAAGTCACTGCTCTGCTGTCGGACAAAGAAATGAGAGAAAGTACAATCTAGACGTGATCAGCATCAATCAGTATAATATATTAATATTCTTCAGATTCTAATACAAAGTATAGAAAAAAACAAAAAAACCCAAACAGGAACATTTTTTTGTAAATACCTTCAAAACAACAGCACGGTGTGAAATAAATGTTGTTTCACCAACAAATTCAACAAAATCTTTTTTTTTTTGATACATGTTTTCTCGTCGATACATCACACATCCATAACACTGATAAGGCTCTGATGCTTCAGTGTGTGAGCGAAGAACATGGCTGTCACCTCTGGTTACAGCAACATTAGCCAGATGTGTTTATCTGAACCTGAGCATCCAGATGTGTGACTCATGCCATCTGGAAGCTCTAACGGAACAAAGCCCACAATAAAAAAGCAATAACTTATTCATAGATCATAAATTATTATTATTTCTTCTTCGTCTTTTTTTTTTTTGTCTTCTTTTTCGTCGTTCACTCCAAATATTTACACATGGTACCTTTTGAACATCAGTGCATTACGGACAAAATTATGCATCTCCTCAGCCAGAGCTAACAGGCAAAGTGGTGAAGTGTTGTATATCCAGGGCCTTCCCTGAGTCATCGGCCATGTCAGGTGCATTTAAAAAAAAAAAAAAGAAAAAATTAAATAATACTCAGAAATGTGTGTTTTAATCCTGGCTTAGACGTCCTGGACGTCCGTCAGGGAGAAAAATGCTGTTTATCTGAACCTCATTATCCTGTTTACGTATGAATCCGGCTGTAAATGTGCAACCAATCCATTCAAAAGGGAAATGTCTGGTTGTGTCCAATTCAAACATAATCATTTTTAGGGCGTGTCAAAATTATCTGGCCTTTGAAGACGAGGTATGGAAATATTTCCGAGGTTTACATTAAAGTTATTCTCTTCAGGTTCTGCCACATGTTGTGTCTAGGTGTTTGTCTTTGCCTGTAAACCACTCTCTGTACAGTTTATATTATGTTTTTTAAATCTAAGAATATCAATAACTTTATGTTGGTTTCTAAAAAATGGCGAGCGAACGTTTGGTCTGTCTCTGTTGTGCAACGTAAACAAGTAGTTTCTGAGCGAAATCTGACAGTCCTTAAATTAAGTTGTTTTGCTCTGATGACCTTTCTTGCACCGAGGGATTTTGCATGATTCTGTTATGCAGCCACAGAGGCGTTAAAGTTAACAAGCAGCACCATTTGTTGGCAGTTACGAACAGACGCAGAGGCATTAATAGTTGAGTGGCAACACAGGATTTCAGGTTCTGTAGAACTCCATAATGAAGTGTTTGGTTTGTTTCTGCATCTGTATCTGTACGTTTGAAATACGGACTGTGGCTGTGTTTGTTCTTCGTTTTTGTACCAGTGTTAACTGGTGTTTTTATCATTGAACTATATCTAATAACTGTTGGTTCTAAAAAAAAAAACACAGCTGGGAACTTGTTGATGACTGTGAAGGCACTGTTGAGGGTACAGTGACTGGATGAAGGACTAGAACCTCCAGGAGAAGAAGTGTCTGAGGTATAACTGCACCAAGTGCATGGTTTTAAAGTCTTCATCTTGTGACTACGTTGCTGTTCGATTCCCACTAACATGGACCAGACCAAAACCAACGAGGCCAGAGAGAATCATCACCACACCTGCCAGCTCCACTACCTGCACCCACACGACTCCACCACCATGTCCTCGTACTGTTTGTAGACCACGTTGTTTCCTGAGTCGATGTAGAGGATGCTGATGGGGCTGAGTTTGGAGGGGGCGCAGCAGCTGGGGGGCATGTTGCTGGGGTTCATGGAGTTCATCAGAGTCTGGATGATGGCGTGGTTGGTGGGCTCCAGGTGGGAGCGCAGAGGAAAGTCACACACGCCCTCGCAGTGGTACGCCTCGTAATCCAGCGGCGCGATGATCCAGTCGTCCCAGCCCAGGTCTCTGAAGTTGACGTGCAGCGGCTTCTTGCTGCACCTGGACTTGGACTTCTTGCCGTGTCTCTTCCCGTGTCGAGTTTTGGACGATATTGTCCTCCTTGACCTGGAGGCTTTCGTGCCGTGACCTCTGTCTTCTGCTTTCCTGTCCAGACTTAGCAACAGCCTGCCTTTCCGTCTCTCGCTCAAGAGCGTCTGTCTCTGCTTGGACCTGGTGAAGACCACTAAGATGGCTTTCTTCTGCTGTGGCCGTCCGTGCCGGTGCAGACCCAGGAGCTGCAGGTCCAGCTCCCTCTCTGGGTTGTCCAGCGTGGCCCTGAGCTCCAGGCAGAACGGCTCGCCTTGGCCCAGGTGACGGCGCCGGTCTTTGAAAATCTCCCACACGTCCAGCACCTCCCACTGTGGCCGGTGGGAATCCTGCAGGTCCAGCGTCTTGGAGTCCAGCAGATGCTGGTCGTGGCAGGAGAGGAGCTGGAATTCGACGGGGTCGGTCTCGGATATCCTGAAATTCCCAGACACTTTGGTGTATATCCTCAGCTCCGCTCCCAGCACCTCCGCTTTTTCGGAGAGGGTTGAGACGTCGAACAGATACCGCTGTCTCCTCAGAGGGGAGAGTGGGAGGTCATCTGTGGAAAGTATTAGAGCAGCAGGGTCAGATGGATTCTCACGGAGATGATGTGCATACCACAAAGATGTGGAATCTGACCATTGTCTGCACTGGATTAATCTGGACAAATCACGTGTGTCCAGACCGTCCGGCCTGCACGGACACACACGCCACATACTGCGGTAAACACAGAACACTGGTACAAGTAAAGACTCAGGTAATGTCCAGCTGAGCTCACAGCGGAAACTGGACGACAGCTCGTAAAAAGTTCAACCACGGCAGCAAAAGCTATGCCAGAAAAAAAAAATCAAACCCGATATACAGTAAAAAATGTACCTCCCGAATAATGTTTAAATGGCCGCCAATAGTAAAAACCCAAACATTTACCTCCTGAATAATGTTTAAATGGCCGCCAATAGTAGAAGAGTTGGCAACAGTTAGGCTACATCAGCCAAATGTCTGGACTTTACCCCAAAGCTAATAATTAACCTTAAAGGACTAGAAATGAAGCAAACAAAAAGTCAATAAAGCTAATAATTAACCTTAAAGGAAGCAACTAGAAATGAAGCAAACAAAAAGTCAAAGCTATAATAGCTGAACCTAGACAAATTACCAACATGTTATTAGTAAAAGTTAACCCTGGAATAATTAAAGTTCAACAACATAAATAGCTAATAATGTCTGGAAGAAGCCGACAAAATACAGCAATAAAAACAGTTGAAGGGAAATATTTTATATTTGATATATTTTCACTTAAAATTATTTAAAAAAAATTCCATTCTTTAAAAATATTTGAAAAACTCTGCTGCTCTGGACTGTGGATGACAACTGGCTAAAGGGACAGTTCAGATTTTAAGGCACTCATTTGAGGTGCTGACCCCTAGTGATGGCTGATGGTATCTTCCATTAGAAAAATATCAGTTTTGTAGTCTGGAAACTTTAACACATTAGAGTTTTAACTGATTTCTTATCAAAATCAAAAATCAAATCAAAAAACATTTTGTACATTAGAGATAAACTGGCTTTAAATATTCATGTTTCTTTAACTTTTTCTAATTAAGTTGATAATGATAATTTTAGTTGACAGATGAAATGATGAAATGAGTTAAAATACTAAGGTATTTAGGTAATCTGGGAGTGTGAGCCAAGATTCTGATAAGATTAGGGAAATATTAGGATTATTTTAATTTGATTTAGAATAAGGTTTAAATAAATGACATTTATTACTTAAAATTTAACACTTAAAATTATATTATTGTAGTCTATGACAGTTTGACAAATTCATACTGAAATGTGTGTTTGTCTGGCAGGAAATTACATTTAATCTTTTTTAATTTTCAACTTAAAATAGTCAACAACAGCTGGGCTGACGTGTTCTGTTAAATACTCTAATATCTGTCTGGTCAGTATCCCGACTTTAAATTACTTTTAAAATTTATTCTTTGGTCTGAAGGATGATATTTTAATTAAATCAACCTTTAATTGATACAGATTATGAACGTAAATCTGGTTATAATCTGGGTTAGAGTGTGTTTTTTTTCCGTTAAATTCTATATTAATCCCACTTTTACCTTTGCCGATGTCCACAAAACTGGCGATGGTGTTGGCAGCTTTGGAGGATCTGAAGAAACTGGCGTTGAGTCCCAGCTTCTCTGCCGTGGAGAAGGTCTTGTAGATGGAGAGCATGTAGTCGTGAGGTTCCACCGCGTCCTTGGACCTGGTTCTGCCGTTTCTGTCCGCGGATGACGTGGACGGCGCTGCGTAAAACTCCTTAAAGTATTTGGACGCGTCGTGTCCGTCAAAGATCTTCTTAATGCTGCTGCCACTGCTGCTGCTGCTGCTGCTGGAGGAGATGACCAGAGCCTGGAAGGTGCGGGTTTCCCACGCAAACACCGCAGCCACGCAGAGGAGAGTGAAGTGGGACAAATCCATCCTCTGGTCCTGAGTCCTGAGTCCTGAGTCTGCAGGGACCAGGGACCGGTCTGGACTCTGCCGCATCCACAGTGCGCAGTGGTGCTCAACAGGGAGAGAGGGAGCGTTGAGTGCTCGCAGCACAGGAGGAGGGGGGGCGGGAGGGAGACGACGAAGAGGAGGAGGAGGAGAGGTGGTCTAAAGTTTTTTTTTTAGAAAGAAAGAGAGGACAGAGACACGCCCACATTGTCCTGTTATCTCTCTGGGTAAATGGAAAGACGCAAATTAAGGTTGTAAAACTAATTGTCCCTCTGTCACCTCCCCGCTCCGTCCGCACCTCCTCCTCCTCCTCCCACTGGACACGCAGATGTGCGCTCCCCAAAAAAATGTGCATTCACTTTTGATCAGTGAATTCACACGTTTCTGTCCACATTGACTTACTTTTGGGGCGGAAAAAAATCTTTATTTTAGTGATATAATAAAATCTCCAAATATGAACTCGAACTTTGAAGTTATTAAAACAAATTGCAGGGGCAGGAAACAAAAGGTGATCAAACCAGAAACTAGTCCTATCCGGATGTAGACCCAAAAAAACAAAAAAATTGGAGTGTTTGTCTCCATCTAGTGTCACTTTAAAGATCATTCAGCTGTAATGAACGAAAAAAAAAGCGAACAAATCATTATCTCTTCAGCACCATGGACAGAGACAGCAGCGATTGTTATACTTTAAAATATAATTAAACTAAAACAGTCGGGGTTTAAAGTCAGGCCGGTGGACCAATCATGGAACCTTTTTGACTTTTTCAGGTGATTTGATTCTGTTTTTTCTAAATTTATATTTAATAGGCATTGTTTTGTTTTAATTTAATAGTCATTAATCTTTACAGAAAATATTGTTTATACTGTCCCGACTTTAAGTTGTTTTGTTGTCATTAATTATTTAAAATTCCTGGTCAATTTATTTAAAAAAATCTTTTTTTTTCTTTTTCTAACCATTTGTTACCTTTTAACAAAAATTGCTCTTTAAAATCTGAACTTTCTCTTGCCTGTCTGGAGAAGACAGAGATTTTTAACAGGTATAAATATGTTAAGGACTGAGTTTAAGGTTTATTTTAATACTGGAACATGGAATACATGTAATAGAGCAGCACACACATGGAATATAGAATTTATTGAAAGGAGAAAAAATACAATCAGAGAAAAGCAAACCAATCTGGAGTTCCCTTCATTTAGTTACAGGTTAACATTAAGTGCCTGACTTAAAATTTTAAACGTGCAGGAGTTTTACAAAAACAAATGCCAATAAAACATCCAGATGGAATGTCGTTAAATAAACACCCTTGAAATAAGAGAAGAAACTTTAAAAACAACAGATATAAAGTAGTAGTAGAATTTCCTTCATTTGTGTGCGCTGTCACCCTGTTAAATACATTCTTTATAAAAAATCTCCTCAGTAAAGGCAGCAGCATCACGACGATCACGGGGCCACATCACACGTGAAGACATTGTCAGCGCAGCAGGCCACGGTGTAGATGACACTGACCAGACACAGGCTGCTGGCACTGACTGTGGTGCTGGAGCTGAAGATGTCCTCAGGCTGTGTGGTCATGGTGGTGACGCCGCCGCTGCTGCTGCTGCTGCTGCTGCTGCTGCTGGTCGGGGTCGGCGTTGTGGGTGTGTTTTTGACGGTGAAGGTGCGAGATTGAGCCCCCCACTCCTTCAGGGTGAAGGCCAGTCTCAGGTTCTCACCTGTAGGAAGATTCAGCATGACCACGTCAGGAGTGGACACTCAAAGATTTAAAACCACCGTTCAGAGATGTTCAGACGTACCGCCGTTGTTGATGGCGAGGTCGGTGAAGTTTGCCCAGCAGCTGCTGAACTTGATGGTGGTGTTTCCCTCCAGACCTTCTACAGGGTTTCCAGTGGCGTCCTTCAGGGTGGCTGTGACTGTCAGAGTTGTCACCCCCACTGAGATGCAGTTACCCTGATTAAAAACAGCAGAGTTCAGTGTAGAAACAAACCGTACCGTTAGCGTTGACCTAGCAGATGCACCCAGTTCCTCACCTCCTCGTCCACAGCCATCAGAATGGGCTGCTGCAGCAGCGGACCCACAAACTCCTCAGCCATTGGCTCCACGATCAGCAGCAGGTTGGCCACAGTGGCCACACGACTCGGTTCAGGGTCTTCTCTTGTCACTTCCTCTGTGGCCACCTGAGATTAAAAAAATGTTAAAAACAAACTCCAATGGTGAGAAAAGAGTCACTGAAAAATATTTCTGTTTCCTTCACAGGTTTGAGCTTCACCTCATTCCATTCAGGGTCAGACGATGGAGGGGGAGGAGCCACGACACCCAGGGAGGAGACGTTGAAGCCGATGGACTGACTCAGGTTTCCTGAGATGGCAGCTTGACCAAGTTCGTCAGCGATGTTCTTCAGCAGCGTGAAGTCCTCCTCGTCTGAAAAGAAGGTTAGATGTTTTAGATGTTTGTCTACTCTCTTCAACCAGGACCTAACTGTCTGTGGGGAACCTACCATTGAGTCTACTCTCTTCAACCAGGTCCTAACTGTCTGTGGGGAACCTACCATTGGTGGTGTTCGTGGTCTGTGCGACCGGAGGTTTTTTGATCTCCACCTCCACCGTCAGGCCTGTGGCTCTCCTCCTGCGCCGAGCTCCGCCGTCCTCCCTGACAATGTTTGTGATTCTAATCATCTCTGGAGGAACCTTGAGGAACACGGCGAGGTTCTGGACCAGGTTATCTCCAAAGAACTCTTCCTCGGTCATGGCAGGAAGCTCGAAGGACAGGAAGAGGACCGGAGAGGTCCTGATCTCCACCGGAGTGGAGCCTCGGACTAACACCTTCATCATCTTGTTGTCGGCGTCGAAGAAGTTGGTTCCTCCAGTGGCGTTGAACTGAGGAACGTACTGACCTGAGGAGATCAGGCCAAGAAGAAACGGCTCATGGTGAAGAGAAGAACTTAAATACATTTCATTTAACAATGAAAAGAAAAATATATATATACACATATGTATATATATGTATATATATTGTCCATTGTATAATATATTTAAAATTATAATTGTATGATTTTATATATACAATGGACAATCAGTACCTGGAGAGATCGGCCTCTTCAGGGTGTAGTCTGTGTTATCAGCGTTCCACTCAGCATTAGTTGGCGCCACCAGCTGGTTGTCAATGTAAATGTCCAGACGCTGAGGTTTGGAATAGAAGACTGAAACCAAGACGCTCTGCAAGAACAGAGGAAAGACAAAACTGTCAGATATCCTGGCATCACCACCAGAGGGAGACATGTTCCCTCTCTGGCATTTTCGTCATAGATTAAGAACTGCTCTGTACCAACCTCTGATTGCTCTGCGTTGAGCATCATGAGGCGGAGCTTCTGAGGACTGACGCCGCTGAAGTAGACGTCGAAAGACTGACCGGTGGTGATGATGCTGTGGAAGAGAGAAACTCTCTTCTGGCAGGTGTAGCCCGAGCACCACCCGTGGTCCTGGGGACCTGGGGAGACAAACAATTGGAGTAAAGACACATTTCCCCAAATTCCCCAAGGCTTTGTCGAGGTCCGATCTTCTCACCGTTGATCAGATCCACAAATCCGTTTCCCAGCACGGCGACGGGCGACAGCCTCCTGAGCTCCGTGTCCGCGTCCAGACTCTCAATCGCCAACATCCTGTAGTTCATGCCAAAGCACTTGTAGCTCTGCCAGGTGTACATGTAGACGCAGTCGTCCCTGATGATGCCTGAGGACACACACATTAACACCCATTATCTTCTGATGTTCAAGGTTTTCCCACGTCTTCTTTAGAAGAAGATCTCCGTCGCCTTCACCTTTATGTGGAGCGATCTGCTCCACAGGGATGCGACTGCCGTTGGGGAACGTGAGCATGACTTTGGGGATGCGGTAGTCGCCCAGGCCTCTCCTGGGATCTCCGTTCCACTCGTACTCAGACTGAGGGATCACAGTCCCGATGGCTCCCAGGAAGGAGCCGTCCAGGTCCTTCAGCATGGTCTTCTTCTTGGCATCACAGTCCATGTCCACGCAGTCGGCAGGGTTGGCTTTACTGAGGGGAGGACACGCTGGTCATTGATCGGATGGGAAACCTGGAGGCTAGTGTTAGCTGAGGCTAACCTCTGGTCTTTATTGTATTATTTGGTCAACTTTTAAATTTCAATAAAGCATCTCTGTTTTTATTTCAGCAACATTTTAATGTTGAAATGAAATGAATACTTTATTTTATTAGCTATCTTCTCATCTCCTCACCCAACGTCAGGCCTGTGGATGAAGACCTTGGCGTCCTCTGTGCTGTCAAATGTCTCTATTCCAGACACGTGCACCGGATGCTGCAGGTCCTCGTTGGTCGGACTGGTCATGAACATGAAGTTACTCTCACTGGAGCAGACGTTTTTGAAGCCGGCAAAGATGGTGTCTGGACGGGCAAGTTTGGAGGACAAGTTTGGACAAGGCAGAGTACTGGGATTGCAGCAGCAGAACCTTATGTTTAGCACAGAGGAATAAAGAACCAAACGTGGACTCACTGGTGACTGTCATCAGTCCTTTGATGGCGTTATAGCTGGTGATTCCAGGGTTTGGCATCTGTGGAGCTGCGTTGTGGCCGGAGGCAAAGGTTGGCCAGCAGATTCCAGACCTGCCACCTGTCCAATGATTATTGTTGATGTAAACAACCGGCAAAAATTTAATAAAGCGTTTCCATCCCGTAAATGACACTAAACACATAATGTACGAGGTTGTACTGCACCGTTGGGCGGCCTGGCAGCAGCATGGCCCAGATCCGCTCTATTGAAAATGTTGTAGTCACTTTTTGACAGGGTGTCGGAGCAGTTGAATTCCGGGCTGCTGCCGATAATCAAGGAATTCTGCGAAAGGAAAGAAAGAAGAGAAGAAGAAGACAGAGGTGACGTCGTTGAACGAAGCTGAGGAGTGAAAATAAAAAAAAAACAACAAGAATTTAAAATACCTGGATCTGTGTCATTTTATCAGCAAACATGTGGGTTAGTGACGGAGGAGCGTAGATGATGGGCATGATGCCCATCCCGTTGTCCACCAGGGTCACTTGGGAGACCACGACATTGGAGCTGGTCTGTGAGGAGAAACAGGTTGAGGTTACAGGTTACGCTCCCACCTTATCTAGTCAACGTGCCGATGAGTCACTGGGCAGGTTAGTGGTGGTACGTTTGGTGTAAGTGAAGTGTCAAACTAACTCCTCTGTTTGTGACAGGTTTAAAAAGCGGACGCTCCAGACCTGGTAGTAGATGCCGTAGTCGAAGCTCCTCCAGATGAAGAAGTCTCTGATGAGGCTGCAGCCTGGTAACCCGTCCTTGTTCATCATGATCCCGTACAGCCCACCGTGAGCCTCGTTTCCGGACCACTTCTCATTTGGATTCTCAAACCCTGTGGCGGAGAATATTCATGGACTTTATTTCTGCCACAACAGCTGGATTTTTTTTTTTTTAATTTTTGTTTTAGAATAAAAATCATTTCTGTGTTGTTTGTTCTACCTGGACAGGGTTCTCCGTTGATGCGATAGGCCACTCTCTCAAAGCCTGCGACGATGTTGTCCTGCAGCACAACGTTTGTCGCCTGGTTCACCTGATGTTCCACACAGACATGTTCAGAAACCTCTTCAGAATTGTTTTTCAAATTGCATGTTTGTTTGTTTTTGTTTTAATGTTGTTATAGAAGTTGGACCTCGATGGCAGGAGTCCAGTCAAAGTCAAAAGCCTCCTCCCGCTCCTGATAGGACCCAGGCCACAGTGACATCATCACCAGGTTCCTCCTCAGGGTGATCTTGTCTCCTCTGACGATGATGGCTGCAAACACAGACAAGACGTTGGAGGCGGTGTTAGGAAAAACAGCTGTTTCATAAACAGAAAATAATATTTATCTCAGAAAAAGCCGAGCGAAATTAGAGAAAGGAGGATGGAACATGTGTACGCAGCGAAGAGTTTCTAGAAGATTCAATGACTGCGGACTGGGCGGAGATGGCAGTGTGAAAGAAGATGAATTGTGTTCACCTTCTCCCACAGTGCGGTGGATGACGTTGTCGTCCACGTTCAGCCCTTCTGTTCCAAACACTCCGATGGCTGGAGAGAAGCCGTCGTGGAAAGCACAGCCCTGGATGTAGGAGTCACCGGAAGAAACCTGCAGAAACAGACACATCATCGTTTCATCACCAACTTTGTTGCTGTTTTTTGCAGCAGATCTTTTCATTTGTACCTTAGGAACTGGGGAATTTTGCTCAACAAATAAACTGTTACTAACAAATGGACTCACCTCTTTCTTCCCCATCATAGCTGTATACAATAATATACATATATTACACATACATATTTGTCTAAATTTTTTTTCTTTTTCAGAGCGAGCGCCTGTGTAAAATGCCACCCTGGTCTGCTGTCACCCGTGCCGTGTGAGAAACCACCACTTCTCCTACCTGTCCAAGATTAAGGAAGGACACAGAGTAACGTGGATCATAGTCTTCGATCCATCCTTCCTGACCGGACTGGAAGAACTCCACGTTCCTGATCTGGGCTGTGCCTTGTGATTGAAAAAAAAAAAAAAGACAAAACAATAATGTGTTAAAATGACATGTTGACATTTCGCAGCGTTGATATGGGTCATATCTGAAACAGAGAATTTACCTTTGTAGTCGACTCCGGCCCAGGAGTAGGTTCCCACCAGCACTCGGGCTCCGAACGACTCTTCGTTCATGTTCCCGTACTCCTGACCCATGACCTTGATGTTCCTGCTCAGCAGAGCCACGTCAGCAGCCAGAGTGTAGGTCCAGGAGGATCCGGAGATGGTGTACCGCTGGCCTGAGGACGGTTCATCACAACAAGTTCTCAGAGATTATGTTTCAAACTGGCAGATCTTTAAAAAATAAAACAGTATAAAATACCAAGGTGAGTGTGGGTCAAGGGCAGGTCCAGGGTCAGCACCCGGCCGTCTGATGACACAGCAGTGACCTTTCGTTTTTCTGTCTCCCAGGTGTTGTAGCTGCTCGTGGAGATGACGATGTCGCTGCCAACCTGAGGATCAGACATGGAGACAAAGACGACTTTATGTACAGTAGGTGAAACAGAAACTGTGTGTGTGGTTTTTTTTTAATAACACAGACCTGCCAGTCCACAGACTGAGACAGGGTCACGGTGTTGGAGCCCGCGTTGGCAGTGGCGCCAAGTTTGGTGTGGTAAACGTTGTGGGGTAATCCGTACAACTCCAACTGTCCAAATACACCTGCGGCAGGACAATTTAAATTTAAATCAATCTGAACTAATTCCTCAGGATTACTCTGGTCCAGATGCTGATCAGTGTTCCTCACCTAGGACCTTGGATCCCTGGTTGGGTCCGTTTGGCAGCGGCCAATCAGGAGTGGAATGTTCTCCTCTCAGCTTGATGTGCAGCTCACCTCTGAACGGTTGGATGTCTGATCCAGCAAACAATCGACCTCCCTGGAAGATAAATAAAAACAAACTTCAATTTGACTTCCAGCTCTAGAACGGTAATATTTATCCTGCTTTATCGTCAGTTTTAGAAGTTTTAGAGGAAAGTTCTTCATCACTGGCCTGGATGGAGATGTACGTGGCTTCTATCACCACCGACTTGTACGCTGACACAGACCGAGCTGTTCTGGTGGACGACACGTTGGAGTCCGGGATCTCCAGAACCCCAATGACTGTCAGCTTGTTGAGTGGAGGAGGACTGTCGTCCAACACCACCCACATTCCTGTTGGTTGGCGGAAACACAAGAGAAAAAGAAAAAAACAACAAGAAAATGAATCAGCTGAGGTACTCACACACACAATTTTTTTTTTCTCCTCGATTTTACCTGCTGGGATGACTACATCAGCGCCCTCTGCTGGAGCAGTGAAGTTATTCACAGCTGAACTTGTCCAGAAGGAAACGTTAGACCACAGACTGTAACGGAAATACACAGAGATGATCATTGACCAATCAGAGGAGAGTCTTTTTATTTCCCATTTAAGTATTTTGGATAAAATAATTTTGATACTGAAAAGAAAAAAAAAATCATGTTCCTCCATGGGTCAGGAGCACGGAACCAAATGTTCCGTGACGTCTATGAGAACCTATAACTTCAGACCTACATGAAGTCATCTGGTCGACCCTCTGGTAATGGTGGCAATGTGACTGGAGGTGGGGGAGTCGGGGGGAGGCAGTTGAAGTAGAAGCAGCGGTAAACCGCAAAGCTGACGGTGACGTCTGTCATGGAGCGGTCCACGCTGTTGCGACGTCTTCGGGCGCTGGTTTTTCCCGACACTAAAGAAAAGCAATGGATGGATTTAACAACAGAACAGAAGTCTTCTGGTCAGATTTCTCCGTCCACGTCCGACGATTCTCACCGAGGTAGTAAAGGTTGTTGGAGTCTTCATCCAGGTACCAGTCTCCGTTGTCGTTGCTGTTGAAGCTCAGCGGCCTCAAGGAGCCGTTCCTCCTGTCGATGATGTGGAAACTGTCAGGATTCTGGGTGAAGTTGTGGTTGATGATGACGTACTGATCGCTCTGTGGAAACACAGACCAGTCGTCAGTGAAGGAGAAGATCATATGTTTATGATTTTTTTTTTTTTATCATGGAAGAAAGTTTTTGTTGTCTTCTCCACCTTGAAGCTGTAGAACTTTGATTCGTATGTGATGTTGGTGAGTTGGTCCATGTTTCTGAAGAACCAGTTGTAGGTTTGCTTGGAGGGCAGCATCACCATCCAGCCAAGTTTGTGCGTCATTCTCTTCTTCATAAAGGGAACGACGGAGAAACCTGTCGACGTGAGGCATCAGTGAGAAAAACAATCAAATCAACCTGGAGGTTTTTAGTAGTGACGTCGAGATCCAGTCCTGGAAAACTGATCAAGGCTCATGAGATCAGACAAACAAGATCATGGACAAAAACTAATTCTCTTCTTTGCCTCCAGACAGAGCTCGTAGAGACGGCGTTCCCGCATCTGTTTTATTACCATGAGTGTTTGAAAAGATGGCGTCCTTTGCCTCCAGAGTGGACGGTTTGGGTTTGTTGAAGGACAAGCGATGGAAGTTCACCGTGTGGTCACACACCGCGCCAGGGAAACCCACGCTCCATTCCTCGCTCAGTGTGCAGTGAGCCGGGTCCAGCAGGTCGGTCCAAGGCACCACCTTGTGGTCGACGTTTCCTAAAAACAGTGGAACAACAACAACAACAGCAGCAGCCGGTGAGATCCAGCTCTTGTTCTTTTGCACAGAAACTGGTATCAGTACTTTGGTGATTTCTCACTGAAGTACATGGTACTGAAGTACCAGATCTGATGTGTGGTGAGGTGGTGTAACCGTACCTGTGGCAGAGCCGTCCATGTCCACAAACTGGACCTCATGCTCCCACCTGAACAGGCCCTTGTTGGGTGTGTTGAAGTACTGGATACCAGCCAACCTCACAGCCCAGCCTCCACACTGCTCCAAACAGGTTCCGTCGATTGTTGTGACGGCGAGGCCCGCACACGTCCCGCGGTCAAAGTTGATGAACCTGGTGTTGAGGACACTCATGCCGTCGTCAAACGGCGTGATGATGCCCTTCTGTGTGCAGTAGCTGTTTCCCAGGAGGAGCTCGTCGACGTGGCCCACGATGGTGCTGTTGGACACCGTCGCTCCTCCTTCCTCTCCGAAACCAGACACGGACGACTGGATGATGCGCTTGGCTTCGATGCCAGCCTTTTCGTTGTTGACCATGAGGAATCTGTTAAACTGCACAGCACCCACATCCACCCACTCAGCGCCTTTCTCACAGTTCCAGGTGGTGAGCGAATCAAAAACCGCCGGCTGGGGGACTCTGGAGCGGCAACCTCCGTTTTTCATAGGGAAGTAGTTGATGAAAATCCAAAGACCGAACCAGCCCTGAGAGTGAACGGTGTTGTTGAAGAACTGACCCAGAGGAACCTTCTGCTGGCAGATGTTGTTGTCGAAGGACGGGCCGTCAGGGTGCTTGTGCATGCGGTACCAAAACCCAAAGTGGGTTCCTCCAGCGGCGGCGTTGTGTCGGATGATGTTGTTGGGGTTGGTGACCCAGTACGCCGCGGGGGTGACGTCGTCGTTGAGCAGACTGGTGCTCTGTTTGACAAACACCGCCAGGTTGTACTGCAGGATGTTCTCCGTCTCGATGCCGTCCTCGATGAAGAAGGCGCCTCCCATGATGTCATAGATGACGTTGTGCTCGACCAGCAGTCGGTGCGTGTTGTGGATGGTGACGGCCCTGTTGAAGGTCTGATGGATCGCGCAGCCTCTAACGTAGGACTTGTAGTCGATATTGCCCATCAGATGCCAGTGGATTGGGTAACGACCCAGTCTGAAGGCCTGACCTGCATGGAAGACCTGAGGAGACACAGGACAAGTTGGCAAAAATGAGCTAGTTAGCAAAACAAAATGCACTAGAAATGGCAAAGGTGGCACATTTAGCCTAAATCAGTTACACATGCCGGGTCAAAGGTCACTGGAGATGATGTTCACAACATGTTTACCTCAACATATTCCAGTCTGCCGATGGCGAGGTTCTCATTGGGTCGAGGCGCATGCATCATGATGCAGGCTCCGAACTGGTCACTGCCCACTTCCTCTCCAAATCTGCCCTGGAAACAGGTCTGGGTGGCAAATTCACCTTCAAGACCAAAGAGAGACTTTTACAGGACAGTGAAGGCACCGCTTCCTCTTGTCGATAATCAGTAATCGTCTGCTCTGATCTGGGTGCAACAGTCTCACCGCTCTGTCTCGTTACCTGTGTTAAAACCGTCGGGACACGCTTCGATTTTATCGTTCCACTCCACATGCTGGGATCCGCGCACCACGATGTTTCTGGTGAGGAGACCGACCTCGGCTCGACCCTCGAACACTGTGCCGTCGGGCAATGTCACGCTCACCCCGAGGTGGGTGTAGTTGAGCAGCGTGTCCAGGGTCAGGACCTTCCCGTCGGACGATACAGAGGTGATGGTCCTCACCTCGTTCTCTCTCTGACTGTGCCTGAAAAGAGGGAAAATGGCAAGAAGAAAATAATAAGTAAAAAATGAAAATTAGCCGAAGAAAATACTGTAATTAAAACAGTCAGAAACCATTGTGAAAGAAGCTAAAAAAGTGTTAAAAATACTAAAAACTGACTGTCGTACTGCACTGAAAATAAACCATTCTAGAAGGAATCATGTTTTTCCTGGTTTGTGTTGACAAATACTGCGTGTACTGTAAGTGAATATTTGTTCTCTGTATTATCTTTCTCAGACGTGACTCCCTTCAAGTCAGGCTGAATCTTTTCATCAAGTTTCAAGGTTTATTTTTCAACTTCACGACCTCTTAAAAAGAAACCGCCTGAAGCTACGGACACCTGTGTGTGTGTGTGTGTGTGTCCCGCCTGAAGCTATGGACACCTGTGTGTGTGTGTGTTTGTGAAAGAGAGACAGAGAGGATGTGATATCTTTACTTGTTTACCTAAGTGGAAATTGTCTACAAAGAAATGTCTTTATTTTTCATGTCAATTTCTCCAACTCTACCGACACTGACTCGTTGAAAACAAACATTTCTGTCATTTCAGTCTTGAACTGTTTTTTAAAGTCTACCCCCCCAGCCCCAGAGCACCTGTCTCCAGTGGAGGCGATGACGATCTGGTCTCCAGGTTTCCAGGTCACCTCCTTCATCAGGTGTATGCTGCTGGAGCCTGTGGCTGCAGTTTGAGCCAAATGTGTCCAGGTGACAGGGACAGGGATACCTGGAGGAACAGGTAGAAAACAAAGATGGAGACCGGACACAGTGGCTGGAATATCAGTGTCAATGACACGGCTACAGGACGGGAATTTTTTTTTTTTGCATCTGAAATTCTAACTCTTTAATTTTAAAATTGTCACCAAAGTGAGAGTTTGAACTGTTCAAAATAAGACAAAATTCAAAATGAAATAAAAGTTAAGGTAAGACAGAATTGAAAAAAAAAAATAGAACACACACATGTACTTTTCTAATGTAGTGGTGGTATTTAAAAATGTCTCTACCATGGAGGTCAAGGATTCCCTCTCTGACTCCCAGAGTCTTGGCTCCATAAACAGGAATTTCGGGCGACCTCTGGTGTCCGTGAAGCGTGATAATGGCTTTGTGCTGGAAAGGTGCCCCCTCCTGGCCAATTTGCAGTTTGCCGCCGTCAGTGATTAGAATGTTCTCCGCCTGGAGCTCGATGTCGGCCTCGTCGAAGATCAACGTTCCTCCTGGAAGTAAAGATGTGAAGAGGTTTAAAGTGAGAAGGTTATCAGTACAGTTGCTGGAACGTCTACGATCAGAGTTGGAGAAAAAGAGCAGAACCTTGAATGAGCAGCATTTTTAGAACTGGCGTGTTGGTGTCCAGAAGGATGGTCTGGCCTTTGGTGATGACAGCGAACGTGCCTTTTTCAGGCGGAGATTCTCCGCCCCAGGTGAACCTGGAGGACCAGACGTCGATGTAGAAGAAGTCTGCGTTGTCCTGGGGAAACAAACGGAGATCGAGGAATCACGTTTTAGTCTGGTTTTAATGAGACGGATGGAGAAGATTGTTTTCTTTCTTCACAGTCTCACCATGTTGGCGATGCCCTGGTCTCTGATGGCGACCCTGACTTTGGTCTCCTCCGACGGTCGGTGTTCATTGGTCACACAGACGATCTCCGTGTCGCTGGAGGACTCAATGTCACAAACTGAGCCAGCGATGGTCACGCTGACGTCGGCAGTGTTGGTGCTGTTGGAAAGGAGGTTCAACAAGGATTCACCAACAACAACTTGCCTGACCTTTTACAAATTATAGTTAAATTAATATATAAATATAAATGTTTTTTTAATTTTTTTGTTACTTTACTTTAGCCTGGATTTAGAGTCGACTCAATGACAAAGCAATAAAGTGCTTCATACAACAAGAAGGTAATGTGAGCCTTGGAATCATATGTGATATGTTTCTCTCAGTGTCTGTCTGTCTGTCGTCTCGCTGCTTCGCTGCAGGGCAGCAATTCACTTCAACGCACCTGAAACCCGAGCCGCTGATCGTGAGCCGTGTTCCTCCGGCGGTGCCTCCTCTGCGTGGAGAAACCTCGCTGATTACAGGGGTCAGCGCCGACCTGTAGGTGAAACCGTTGGACAGCGTGACAGAATCCAGCTGGTTAACAACGGACACCACGCAGCTTAGCTCCGACTCACTGCCTGGACAGAGACAAAGACAAACACAGACATTAAAGACATGCGTGCAGAGATAATGACTGATCTGAGCCGTCGTGTCTGACATGTCCGTCATTGTCAGACAGACTAAAAGGCTGACGGCATTCTTCGAAGGTTCGTCAAGACAGGACTGATCAAAGCAGCAGCTTCTGTTTTTTTCCCCCAAGAAAAAACTTAAAATTAAACTCTGGGGAAAACACATTTATTGGAAAATAATTTTTATTGCCTCTGTCATTTTCGCTGTCCTTTGTATGATGTTTGTTATGTTCTATTCTTGAAAACATTAACATTTGTTTCTTGAAAAACATAATTTGATGAATCCATGAACCACAGTGGAAAAAAACTTTTTCTTTTGGCTTAAACTTTCAGTGATGTTAATAGTTCAGCGTCATCACTGACTTCTTTCGTTACCATTCTATTAAAGAATGATGACGAGAGTAAAATATTCCTGATCCTCTTGTGACGTTCCATTGTGACACATCAAATACAGTGGACCAAACTCACTGTTGTTCACTGGAGACATGCAGTGCAGTTCACTGGACGTGGACGTGTTCCTGTCCACCTCACACTCCTGGTCACAGATGGTCACATTGGAGTACAGTGGACTGAAGCCAGAGCCCTGGATGGTGAGAGAGGCTCCGCCCCCAAAACTGCCTGAGATTCCAAATGACATTAGATTATTTTTCAGAAAATGTTTTTCCACCCTTTTTGATCCGACGTAGAATTAATAAAAAATAAAAGTCTGTTTCTGTTCCTCTCCACTTACCTTCACTAGGTTGCACGCTGCTGAGAGTCAACTCGTACGTGAACGTGACGCTGGACTGCGCGTAACCTTTGGCGTCCTGGCGCACCGTCACGGGGTAGGCTCCTCCTGGGTTGTCTCCTGCGGTGCATTGAATCTCTGCGTCAGAGAACGACGACACGACACAGGGGACGTCGCCGATGGTAACAGAGATGGCCTCCGAGTCGCTGCCGAACCCTGAACCCGTCAGTGTGAGGACTGAATCGCTCGGCCCTGTGGGAAAAAAAAGAAAAGAAGAAGAAAGAAGAAACAAAGTGATTACCTGGAGACGAACTTCAACTTTAATGCACTTGTCTCTGTGAGATAAAACTAACACAAACGCAGAGCGGTGACTGACCAGAGGTGGGGTCGATGGAGCCAAGGACGGGCGTTTGAGCTGCAGAGTAGGTGAAGCTGAGAACAGGATAGCTCACGGAGAAGACCAGGATGTTGACGTCCACCGCCCCTTCACTGTTTGAAGGTGTCAGACAGCTGATGAGACCTGCTGATTCCTGTTGGATCCTGCACTCTTTACCCCCCACGGTCACGCTGGTGTTTCCTGGAGCAAAGCCGTTCCCTGTGAGCACCAGAGTGGACCCTCCCTCCAGACCGCCCTCAGAGGGACTCAGAGTGGCCTGTGGAGTGCTGGTCAAGGTGGCATCACCGCTGGCTAGACCTCTGCTCCTCACAATCACCGTGATGGCGTGGTCACCCGCGGGCAGAGCCTCAACGCTGATTGTGACCATGCCGTCCGTCACCTGATCCACCCTTAGCTCTGTGCTGCTGGCGAAGACCACCACGTCATCGGTGCTGCTGCCGAACCCTGAGCCTGAAATTTGGACGGTTGTAGCAGCACTGATGGTGTCTGGGTTGACCGCTGCGATGGTGGGAGTGACGGAGGAGGAGTAGGTGAAGGAGCAGTCTGAGTGACAGGAACTCTGGATCAGGCCTTTGTGGAAGGTCACTTCGTCGGCGTGCTCCTGCGAGGGGGCGGTGTCACAGACTATGCTGGTGTAGCTCGCAGACACCAGGCTGCAGGTTTCACCCGCCGCTGTCACCCGTTCTTCAGAGAAGCCAGAACCTTCAATGGAGAGCCTGGTGAAGCCTGTGGTGCTGCCCGTCGAAGGAGAGACGGAGTCGATCACAGGCAGAACCACGAAGCGCCGCTCGAGCTCCTTGGACACAGTGATGATGGCTGTGCCCAGGTTGTTGACCTTGACCACCACTGGGTGAGCGATGCCGATGGGAAGTTCACTGTCGGCACTGAGTTGGCAGTAGATGTCAGTCAGAGAGCTGGTGATCACTGCACAGATCTGATCGCCCACGGTTACCTACGGACCAATCAGAAGAAGACGTATACTCAGGATAAAAAGAACAATTTATGTGACAAATGTTTAGGATCTTGGATAAAACGTTGGAAGATATCCCCCCTATGTAAGCAGCTGAAATATATTTCTTATGTTGTGGTTCCTGTATGCCAGCAGGGGGTGCTAATTTTGGAGTGACTTTTAGAATTCTATGTTTTATTAAACATTTATTTTGGATTTAACTTGTGGGATTAGAGATATTTTCAAGCAGCCACAAACATTGATGGAGCGACCTGAACTTCTTCAGGATTCAAAACTGACCTCAACAGCACAGTCAGTGTCACTCAGGTGGCTCCCCTGGATGTGGATGACCTGGTGGTACGTTCCCTGGTTGGGGGAGATGGAGGTGACAGTTGGGGTGGAGCAGGAGGAGATGACGAAAGAAAGACCATCCGAAGTGGTATTCTCATCTGAGCAGTCTGGAACCACGACACAGGCCGGGGCTTCTCTGGCCACACGGGGCGCTCCTGCGGAAGAAAGGCCACTGATCAGATCACTGAACATATTTTTTTTTTTTAAAATGTAGATTTTCCAGATAATAAAGACTTCCTCTTCACCTCCTGCCTCTAGTTTGGCTTCGATTTCCGCCACGCTCACAGACACATTGCTGTTTTTGGTTGGCCGCCTCACGACCTTCACCACTCCCTGCAGCACCCGTCTCTGGTCGTCATCCACGAACCCACTGCTGTAGAAGAACTCACCGGGTGAAGTGAAACGGTAGCTGTAGGAGCCTGAGAACCGTGAGACAAGAGTCCACAGGGTGAGGTTGTGGACATGTGGACAGAGCAGGGTCAACTTGACTTTCACATATATTTACAGTTGTTACATATGACTGGTTGGTCATAGGTAACGATGCCTTTACTGTCCTAGGACAAACTCAACGTGCTCAGGTAAAAATGTTATTTTTCTATGTTTATGCAGTGAATTTCATTTCACACTCATGTTTGAAGATGCTAAATGACTGATGCTAATTATTTTGTGTCCAATCAAGGACTAACTTAAATGTTATTGCTAACAAATTTTGAGTTTTTTTTTTCCCATAATCAAGTCATCTTCATCTTCTCTGTGATCAAAGGTTAAAGGCTTATCTTTCAGGGCTAAACTTCTTGTCCAAGTTCTACCTTCACTGGTGCTGGTGTCTCCACTGTTGAATACCCCCCCTTCATACGTGGTGCTGCTCGGGCTGGGAACAGCGAAGACCCGATAGGCCACATTCTGGAACACGGGCGCCTTCCACTGCCAGGTGACGGTGTCTCCCACAAACACTGTGGTGGAGGGAGAACTCCAGGCAAAACCCTGTCCATAATCTGGGACATGGAGACACAGGGAAATGTGAAGTCATCTCATGTTAACAACAGAGGTGGCGCTGTACTGCTGTTTGGCATGTGAAAAAAAAACAAAACAGTGGACGAACGTACCGTGGTCTACGCCCTGATTGGTGATGATGTAGGTCTTCTCCGCTGACCGCAGGACACACTGCAGCTCACTGGACGAGGACACGGTCACTTCACACTCAGCATCACCTGACACCAACACAAATCAACGCAGTAAGGAATAGAATTAAGCCTAAAATTATATATATATATGATATATTTGTTATATTGTGTGTTTCTGTCTCACCAATGAGGACTTTGTTTTCAGACACATCATCGCTGAATCCAGATCCAGTCACAGTAAGGACGGTTCCTCCCACTAACGACCCGTACCGTGGACTGAGGCCGGACACTGACAGGATGTACTGAATGAAGCCATTCTGGCCCTCGCTGGAAAGAAAAACCAACACAACAGTCTGAAAAAACACTTCCCTGACAGGTTTGGTTTTTTCTCATTTTTAAATTAATTCATTTGTGTTTGAGAATTTAATTGTGTTTAATAAAAATACGCAGAAATTTAAAAGATTTTCAGCAAATAGCTTGACATTATCAAAAAGATGGAGATAGCGTAGGTAACGCTAAAGTTAGTCTAGCCAAGGCTAAAGTTAGCTTAGATACGCTTTAGTGAGGTATAGTTTTAATAATAGTTAAATACATATAAAATTATACGGTGATAGATATTATAAGTTGTTTTATAAATTAATTTTATATTTAATAATATAAAAAATTGTATTTTTTAATTTAAATTATTGATTACATTTATTGTTATTTTATTTTATTTCATTATTTCAATTAGAGATAACACTGCTAATATTTAATTAATTTGCATGTATTGTGTCAATTCCCTTTTTTTACTTTTTACTGAGGCGTGTCTTCTCTGGTTCTTTACCTGAACAGGCTGTATCCATTGTTTCCAACCTGCACGTCCACCTTGTAGACGCCTGGTCCCAGCACAGGGAGAAGACAGTTGATGTCTGTGGACGTCCAGTCCTGGATCACACACTCTTGACCTCCGACGTACACCTCAACCTCGTTCACGTTGGCTCCCAGGTTTGATCCACTTATGGCTAAGGTGCGCTCACCTGCACACAGGTGAGGCAAAAAAAAAAAAAAAATTACGAGGTTAAAGTGTCAGGATAATAAGCAGCTGTGAGTGGTGAAAAATGTGAAGATTGTCCTGCAGTTCATCTGCTGCTGTGAGAAAAGTAAGTGTTTAATTACACCTAACGACACACGAAGCATTTTGACAGAAAAGTCGTATAATGACACAATACTGTAGGTGTGTGTTACAGTCGTACTACAGGCGGTACGTGTTCAGTCTCATTCTTCAACACTGTTACTCTTTTGTTGTGTTTTATTAAGTAAATCGAAAAAATTAGTTATTAAGGACAAATTGCAACAAGAAGAAAAACCCTTAATGCTTTCAGTAATGATTGGAGTCAACTCACCGAACACCGTGGTGGTCTCTGGACTGAGGCCCGTGATCTGGGATGTGAACCCTGCGTCGTAGGTGAACTGGTCAGAGGCCATGGTGCTGATGTCCTCCAACGACACGTACACATCCGAGGATCCTGCAGAACCCTGGAATGATTTAATTAATTAGCCTTGGTGCAAAAGTCAGGTCCGGAGTTCTCATGTCACGGGGACTTGAGGTGAAGGAAAAAGTTGGCTACGAGTTGTTGGTATTTCAACGAAGAGTCTAAGACACAGAAAAACGTTTTAAAATGTTTTTCCTTAGGATCTGAGGCCCAGGTCTACATGTGTCACAGAAGAAAAAAAAAGTGTGAATGAATCTCAACATCACTGGGAATAAAAAGTCGTTACAATTCCGAGTCCAAGTCCGAGTCACTGGTGACTTGTCTGACGACTGTGTACTTACTGATGGCGTTCTACACTTCAGCTCGCTTTCACTGGCCTCAACGACAACACACTCCTCAAGTCCGACGGTGACTGAAGTGTTGGAGCTGAAGCCGTGACCTGTCACTGTGAGAAGTGTGCCCCCTGAGGCCAAACAAAGAAAAGCAGTTTCAATCCCTGTATGTTGTTAATCTGAGATTTCACAAAGTCTATCAGCCAATAGGAGAGACACCTTTTTTGGATCATGTGACCTGTCTAGTAAAATCTGTGACTCACTTTTTGGAAACATAAACTTTAATCTCCAAATTCAATCAACATGAAGGATGGTTCTGGTTTTACCTGCCAAACTTCCAGTCAGCGGGGACAAGGACGAGACGAGGAGCTGAATAGTGAACTCAGGGATGATGTTGTCTACGTAACGTGCCTGACCCAGGGAGGGGAAGCTGACTGAGACGGGGTAAGTACCAGCACTGGCACTGCCCAGTCTGCAGACCACAGTGGTCTCTGAAAACACAGGAGTCTCTTTCTGATTCCAGTCTCAGTCGTTATTTTCACTATCAGTATATTTTTATATAACGATCTTCTTCTCACCTGTGGTTGATTCCACATCACACTCCGCCGGTCCCACCGTGACGAAGGCATTGACGGAGCTGAAGCCCGACCCACTTATGGTCAGAAGAGTTCCTAGGCCAATGGATCCTAAAAACACGAGTGACACGGGTTCACATCGACACTCAAGTCAAGTCTGACTTCAAGTCCATTAGGAGACGGAGTCTGTGGAGGTTCTCACTCCTAAATGGTCAAGTTCAGATATTTGTCTCAGATGGAGGGACCTGTTTTTTTTAAGACCACTGAAGACATTTATCTTTGAACCCAAAAGAGCTCTTCAATCCAGAACTGAAGAATCTGGAGTTCACGTTTATACTTTAAACTCTACAACATTCAGAGCTGCGTCCCTGGGAACTGTGACCAAGATTTCTTTTATTTTTATTGGTCTAGACAACAGGCTTATCGTCTAAAGGGCAAGTCCAGAGAAATGATCACCTGCTGATGGACTGATTCCACTCACAACTGGCGTCAGCTCCTCCTTCCACTCGAACCCACAGTCGCCTGAACATTTGGAAGGGATGCCGTTGATGAACACCTCCACCTGCCCACCGACATCATGGGATTACAACAGAAGAACACGGTTGTCGCTGTCAGACATGTCAAAAACAGAGCTGATACGTAAAGACATTAATTTGTCTCCTGAGGCGTCGATAAATATGACAGCGTTACACAATTGAACGACAGCAGCAGGACCGGCTCTGCAGGATGTGTGAGTGAGAAGACAGAATCTATACAGCCACACTGACAGGCACATAATGCAGACGCCACATCCTGAACCCACTCTGTGCTGGAGGTGTTTTGACTTTTGTACCTGTGGTTTGGTTTCTGCCACACGGAAGAAATCGCCCGACAGGCTGCGAATCAACAGCCCACCTTTCCTATCCTCCTTGGCGAAAACCTCGACGTTGTTGCCGATGACTGATGAGTCATTGATCTGCGAATAATAATAATTTTAGCCACGGCTTCTAAAAACATTTATTTTTTTGCCAACTTTCAGCAACTTTCTAGCAAATGCTGCTAACCTTTGATGAACCTGGAGTTAAAGGTTAGCCATTTAAAAGTTAAATCCTTCTCTGGGCCTATAATCATCTCCAGTTTTCTAACTCTCATTCAAGTATCCTCGGCTAACTTTTATAAAGGGAGAAGCAGTTGGTCCTTGGACAGTTTTCAGACACAGACCTGGAACATTGGCTGGTCTCCAGGCTTGGTCAGCCACTCCACACGCCATTTGGGCCGTCTACAACTTCCCCTCCACTGAACCTTGAGCTGTCCCGTCCCTTCGATTCCCTCCAGAGCGTACTTTAGATCGTCCTCACCGATGTCCACTGACAGACCTGAGGAGGACACCAGGACAACAAGGGTATTGTGTCTGTGACATCTTCACATCAGGAGTAAACAAACGTAACCAGAGAATCTTTGGAAATCCTGCCCAAAAGATGTATGGAACATAAAATGAACCTTCAGGTAAAAAGTGGTTTTTAGTTTCAACGACAGCAGAAACTCAGTGACTGTCGCCATTGACTTCTTCAAATTTGGACTAGGACCCGGAAGAGTCACTAGACCAGCAGAGGGCGACTTCACCCGCTTAGTCTAATCTGAAATCTTCTACTAATGGACAGATTATTGGCCCATTTAACCTCCAGTCCAGTCTCCAATCACCTTCAGCTCGTCCTCCATAAATCTCCACGTCGAAGGTGCCGGACAGAGGCCTTGTAGCTCGATGAGGTCGAGACACGCTGACGGTGCCCGTGCCTTCCTGGAACACTGCCGCGTCGCTGCTGCTGCTCACCGACTTTAAAACCAGTCAGAAAACACATCAGTCAGTTTCAAGAATATAGATAATAGATACTAAAGGCCCACGATGAGCTCTCTTCTCGGCTAACTGCTAATGCGATAATTGACAGTGGCTAACAGTTCCAAAATCCTTTTTAAATATTATTTATTCTGATTGTTTCTGTACGCATGTTTGGAGCATCCGAGAAATACCTTTTTTATGGTAAATATGGTCAATAATTCAACTGTGCTTGTCCATTTGAGTTCTCCTTCTGGGAGCGCTTGGGAGATTATTTTTCCAGTGTGATTTTCAAAGTGTGTTTTAGCGCACCCTGCAGGTTTGAATGTTTCACTGAAATTTTTCAATTGAAAAAGATCCATCTCAAAACACTACAGAGACCTGGGGATTTAATTCAACTGAATGCAACAACGGACGCCGCCCCCGACACATTAACGCACCCTTTTTTCCCAACAGTCACATGACCTCAGGCCACGCAACACTTCCCGTTTTTACGACACTACACTCTGCAGAAATCACCGCTTCCTCTTTTTGTCTACAGGAAATTCTCTGTGTGACGTTTTTAAAATAATCGTCATCAGGTTTGATTGGGTAATTCGGCGCGTGTATCCTGGTGGGATTATCCATAATCTGGGTGGTGCCGAGGGTTGGATTTCCGGCCCCAGGCTGTTGTCTGTCTGGATTTTTTGGAGTTTCCCAAGACATTTAAGACAGATTTAGAGAAACCACATTGTTGGTTTACTGTTCTGTGACTGTGTTCTGTCTGTGATACTTCTTCTGGGCCTGGAGACGTTTCTTAACAAGGGTTTCAGTTTTCAGCAGCTCAGACCTGCGATAATCCTGTGTCCGACAACATCCACGGCCCGAGTTATAGACTCAAACAGGTTCATTCAGGATTTTTCAGAGCAGTAAAAATCAGCCGGTTTACCTGCAGGAAGCCAACTTCTATCATGGGGAAGTCGAAGGCACAGTCCACCGGTCTGGCCTGAATCTGATAACTGATCTGAGAATCACTGGACAAGTCTCGGACAACACTGAAGGTCTCCAAGGATCGGCCGCTGAGCTCAAACGGTGGCGGCCTCCTCCGGAGAGGGACACCTGGGAGATGGCACACATTTACAAAATCTACATGTTTGGAAAATACCTTTGAAAGTGGATGACGTAACTAGCATTAAGCTAGTTGGCTACATGTAGCTAGAACACGAAGATATCATTAGGTGTTTGGGTATTTTCAACACATGATTGAACTTTTTTTTCCCCTCATATATGATAAAAACTTCTGGTTGCGTACCGTTCACATTGACGGTGGTGAACAACTTCCCAATGTGAACAGCGTCCACGTAGAAGTCTTCTCCAGACGGGTCTTTGTAGAGGTAAAACTCGGCCAGACTGTGGGCGGTGCCCAGATACTGGGCCTGTAGAGACTCCTCCAGGTCCATGCAGGTGTAGCTCCACCTGTGGAGGAACATCGTCGGTTCATCGGAGAATACTGAAGATACTGCGAAAGACTTTTGTCATGGTACAAATACTGTCTTGGTGGTGAAAAAATCTGTAATTCTAGAGAATTTTGTTAGTTTTTCATATCTGTATAAAACATTGTATTTAAACTAATTTATAAGAATAAAGGGTCAACTGTTTAACTATAAGCCAAAATGTATTTCAATTTCAAATACTTTTGGAAAACAGAACTTTAAGGTTTGAATTCTGAGAATCAAAGATGTCAGATGATCAAAATGTTAGCAGGAAACAGAATCTGGGATTAAAGTCCTTCAATCTTGAATTATTCAAAGCTTGAATATATATATATATGTGTGTGTGTGTGTGTGTGTGTTAAGTTTTGATCTTGGCCTCTGTTGAAGGAGACGCTGATCTCTGCAGTCACTGTGCTGGTGACGCCTTCAAGGTTGATGTAGGAAAACTTCATCCCTACTTTGTCCTGGAGTTTCCCCTTGTAGGCGAAGCACAGCTGGAGGAGGAGCATGTGGAATGGTATTGATTATTTTAATAATTCATAACAATATTTTATAAATAATTCCATGTTGTCAGTAAACAACTGTATTTTTGTATTTGTTTCTGTATTGAATTATTAAATGATTATTATCTCGTCATTAGTTCATGAGTTTTAAAAAACTGGATGGAGTTTTGAGATCAGAGTCAGACGTATGACATATATACTTTATCCTGACAACTATATATATATATACGTTTATATATATATATATTTTAATTTACAACACTACGCATAAGTTCCATTGTCCGGTGTGTTGTAGTTGTGTTGTGTTTTTACCATTGGGTGTTGACTCAAAGTGATCTTATTGTATTGGCCTCCAGCAGCTTTGGTGTAGGTGTCTTTGAAAAGAACCTGTGGGTTCTTCAGGGACCACTGGCCACAGAAGGCAGAGTACTGCACCGGCGTTCCTTCTTCTTCTGTGTTAAACTGGTGAGAACACACACACACAGCACGATTACAAACTGCACAAAAACCTTTCTGGCTTTCCCTCTCCTCCTTCGTCCTCTTCTTCCTCGTCCACCCACCTGGGAGTTGTCGTCTTCAAAGTTCTGGGAGTACTTGACGTCTCTTCCCTCTGTGGTCAGGATCTCGGCGGGACACTGGGCTGTCATCAGGTTCTCCAGCGCCGTCTGGACCTGTCAGGTTTCACCAACGCATTCACAACATCAAACATTACCAGAGCAGATTGTGTTTTGTCTCAGGAGGTAGAAACCTGCGGTCCAATGTTTATTTCCTGTCTGTAACGTGCATTCATGTCAATTCAGTGTTTTTCAGCTCACATTTAAGCATCTTTAAAAACTATTCTGGGATTATTTTAGCGCCAAGACTCATGTTGTCTGAGCTTTCACCCATTTAGCTGGGCTTGGCTAGCTTGTAGCTATTCAGAGCTAAATTGCAGGGTTATTCGTTTCAGCACATTTTAACCCAGTGTTTCCCTAACTATTTTTTCTGGCGACCCATATTTTAAAAGTCACAAAACCTCCGTGATGTGCGGTTGAGTCACTCACCTGAGCTTCAGATGCGTTGAAGGCCAGAGGCTCTGTAGGAATTCCCTCCCAGAGCAGAGTGAACGTCTCCATGTTGCTCTGCCCCTTGGTCAGTTCAGCCACACTGATGGTGGCGTCTCCTCCAAACACCTCCGAGGTCAGAGGCTGGAAGTCGCCTGGGTTCCAAAAAGAAAGAGAACATTACATGATTCTTAGTTGATTGATTATATGTCTCTACGTTTCGTTACGAGTGGATTCCATAAATAAATCCAGGCTCTCATCGGCAGAGATAGAAACTCAAGTTGCATTTTTCTTCTTTTCTCACCTCTGTCAGAATTAAACGTGACAGTGTAGTGAGATCCGGCGTTGTCGTCTGCTTTAGTGACTTCAACCGTGTCAGGTTTGATGGACCACAGGTTTCCCAAGGCGCGTTCCACCACGGCAGCACTGGAACCGACTGGTATTGGTTCTGAAGAACACAGAAACAAAGTGACGATAAAACTCGTCTTTCGAAAAATAAAAAGCCAAGTAAGGTTTAGGGTTAGAAACTTTTCTTCCTGTTACCGGTCTTAGCGGGTCCGTATCCCAGACTGAAGGAGCCGCAGAATTCGGTGGCGCAGCTAACAGTCACTTTCTGAACCTCTTTGACACTGACGGTGTCAGTGGGCCAAAGGTTAAAGGTCAACACCTGACAAGACACAAGACAATTTATTTTTGGTTCTTTTTCCTTTCGTTCTTTAGTTGAGGCAATGAAATATTAAATCAGAGGCCAAAAATAGTTCCATCTTTACAAAAAGATTAGTGCAGGTCAAAAGGTCAGATAGGTCACGTACCTGTTCTTCATCGTACACGTCATACTTGGCTATGATATACTGGACCTCGTTGACGGCATCATCCGTCTGGTCCTCTGTAAATGTGCTGTCCTCTTTAAAGAAGCCAATGTTGATGTCTGCTGCCCCTGCATGTTCTTGATGGAGAAGTTCAATGTAGTACCTGCAGGAGTGTTGGAGTTTGTTTTGGTTTTTTTTGGCCTGTATTTTCTCACGGCAGAGTACAATGTTGTTTGTTTAGTGTGAAGTCATACGTACGGTTTCCCTCCCTCTAAAAGCATGACGTCAGACTTTTGTGAATCCAGGCTGAGGTGGTCTCTGACATAATACGGCTGGTGAGCGACTTTAGCCTTCAGTGGAGAAGAAGAAATGTTACAGCAAACATTCAACCTTTCAACATTTCTGTGTCACTCTGGTCCATACTTTGTCTTCTGGTCGGCTGGAGTTGCTCATGAAGAGCTCACAGCGGTCGTCACAGTGGAGGTACATGTTGTAGTTGCCGCTGGAAGGCGGGACAAAGAAGCCCCGGGTGTGGGTGCAGAAATAATCATGGTCTTTGACGTAGGTGTGGCGGAAGGAGTCGATCCATTCGGACCAGTATCCGGTGGAGTTTTCGTTGAGGTCCCTGATGTTGGACAAATATCGTGGCCTTGTGTCATTCCAGCCCTCAACCTTTAAACCTCTGCTGCCTGGACGGAAGTCAGACAGAAGAAGAAAAGTGTGAAAATCAAATCTATGATCCATTGTCGGTTGGTTGATGGTTCCTGGTTGCTATGCTCCCTCGATCAAGAGACCTTACAAGGGGACCAGGTTTATAAAAAAAACAAAGATCGCCGTGTAGGATGAATACAATTAATGGAATGCGTGATTAAAACAGGCTTTTGTCCTGTGCGTGATCACTGTGCGTGATAACTGTTGGTACGGACAGACATCAAAGTCGTCTGAGATGTGATAAGCTGTGACATGTGACAGAGTGAAATCATAATCTTCAGGACAGACTTTTTCCGTTGACAGATGGTTCAGATTCTTTCGCCGACTGACTTGACAAATGTCATTATGTCCATTGTGTAGATAATGACACAGCAGAAACCACAGAGACGGGTGCGGGACGGTGGGAGACGACAACAATAGACTGGAGAGACAAAATGTTCTCACCTGGGTACAGCGTCACATTAGGGTCCATGGTGTGCGCCGCAGTCCTGCACGTGATGGTGTCGTCAGACCAGCTCTGGACTTCGCACGGCAGGCCTGGAAAAAAAACAAGCATCAGGTGAACAAAAGCAAAGAAGCTCAATGGATAAAAACACCTTTTTGAAACTTGATGATGATACTGTGTTTAAATATCTAAGGTTATAGGGTTTTACTCTCATGTCACTTGGACTGTATGAACATTTGGTGCTAAATAAACTCTATCATATTCAAATAAATAAAATGAGTAATTGTAAAATGGTTAATCAAAATTTCTGTTTTATATTTTTTTTCAGGTCGTGTTTCCGACGCAAATTGAGGCCAAAAATTGTACATGGTAAGGCAGGCTTTGGGGATTTGCAGGAACAAATGTGAAGTACCAGACACTGGCTTGTTTGTTTAATTGGTATCAAAGGAATAGCCTTAGCATAGCATAGCAATGTTAGCCCCAATAAATATGGCCCAGGACGTACCTGTAAGAAACCATAGGAAAGGTATTTGTTGTATCTGACTATACAAAAGTAATAGTGTTGGATTCTGGAAAGAAAACTCCAAATATTGTAATTATTTAAATACCATCCAATCAGTTTGCTTTTCTGACAAAGCCAACTCCACATCCCCAATATCATGGAGTTGATAAATGCTGACTGTATCTACTGACTGTCATTCACTGAGGTTTTTGTTCCATGTTGGCACGTTGTACAGTAACATGGAAAAGACACGACACAGACTGAAAAACAAGGAGTTCCACACAGACTGCTCCGAACACGAGGCGTAACTGAGCACCAGCAGTCTGTGAAGTGACCCACAAAGCACTGACATGGTCGGCTGGGTCTCTGTCTTCACTGTGAAGGAACTCCACATTTTTCCTTTTGTTGTCAAATATGTGCAGACTTTTTTCCGTTGTGTTGCTGAAGGAGATTCTTTAGCAACACAACAAAATAATTGTAAGCCCTGAACGGGCTGGGTTTTGTTTTGTGGAGAGACAAAGTGTAGCTCTTTGTTGTACCATGAAAACACTGTGTCCTGGGAGACAACAATGACAGGAAATGACAAGAAAAAAAACAAGATACAACTGACAAGTTTCTTGTATGTAAAAATCAACCTGAACCTGAACATTTAGGCAAAAACGTCACCTGTTTTTATTAACCGACATCAGTATGTTTACTGCACTGCACTGAGTAGAAAAGTTTTTTTTTTTCACTAGGTCTGGCTGCATGCAAAATTCACCAACTGTCATGGTTGGTTGCTACAGCAAAACAACATATTGTCGCTGTCTTCTTTTGTTTTGCCTTTATAATTCTAATTTTCAAAAATAAAGTACTAAACAAGTAGTAACAAGAAAGTTTAGTTGAACTTCAGTTTTCTCTATCAGTCACTTGTTTACACTGAATATTTAATCACAGTCAGTTTTCACTCTCGTGTTGCAGGATTACCTCCGACCAGAACGCGGATCTCTTCGCTGGTGTTGTCAAACCTGCTGCCGTGAACGGTCAGCAGCGTTCCGCCCATGACGCTGCCCGAGGATGGAGAGACGCCTGTCAACTCTAAAAGGTAAGAAACAAAAACATATTTTTCTCAATTCTTTCCTTTAAAAAAAAAAAAATCCATCTCCACTACTTGGACAAAGATTAGACTTTTACCATAAATATAAAGACTTGTGTGGGTGACGTTACCTGTATAGGTTTGGAACATGTGAAGGTTGTTGAGAGATGAAACTTTAAGTAGATACTTTTCGGCATGTGATCTATAGATTAGGAATAAAAAAAAAAACAACGTTATACAACAGTCCTGGTCCAGACAAATGACCCAATGACAGAATTTATTTTAAAATAGTGGCCCAATGACAGAATTTATTTTAAAATAGTTTCCACCACTAATAAAATCCTTACCTTCCGAAATCACCATCGAGGATGTAGGTTAAGTTGTGATGTCCTGAGGGGGAAACAGAACAAACGTGTTGGTTAAAATGTCACGATATTGACTGATTTAATTTGTAACAATGTTGCCGCGTCATGAGACAACTTTAGCTGTGGCTCGAAGCTTCTTACCGACAAACGTTCCTGTCATTTTGCAGCTCATGTATCCCCACCACGATCTGTCGTGGTCCAACCGCAGTTCATATCTTTGGACACATGAAAAAAATGTCAGTGCTCCAGAAACTGAAGCTGTACCTGTGTACAACATTTGTTTATTTTTTACATGAAATAGTCGTAGTACAAGTACTTACAGTTCGTCTGAGTTGGGTTTAATCAGTTCACAGGGCGTTCCACCCATGTAGACTCTGCAAACAGGTAAAAATGACCAATGGGAGTAAAAAGAATTTGACTAATGAAAATGACTAAAAATGAACCTAGATCAGGGATTTGGAAATCTTTCAGCATCTATTTTTATTTGGCCACAACATTTTTGTTTTCATTCATACCTCAAGAATCTGGAATTGATGTTGTTGGAGCTCTTCTTTGAGTTACTGCCGTACACGTCTGTGAAGATCAGTCCTCTGATCGTCACCAACGACCCTGCAGTGAGTTCATGTTGTTGAATGGAAGTGGTTTTAAAATATGATCACATTTCACTTCACGTGTTAGAGAAGTAATTGTACCTGGAGGTCCAGTGGCAGGTGTCAGCGATGTGATCGTAGGAGTGCGATACCACACAGTCTGAGGATGGAAAAAAAATAAAAAAAATAACAGGGGAATAAGATGTAAATACATTAGGAACTAGACATGGTATTGTTTGTAGTTTGGTGCTGCATTTGTTTTTTGCAAACATACAAAAAGGCTGCAGTGGTAGGGTTTGTTAGCACCGCCGCAAATGTTGTTCTCAGGGATGTCAACGCCATCCACGCTCACGCGTACCACATACTGATCGAATGGCATAGGTCTGTAAAAATAAAACATTTAATCAGAGGAACTGTTAGCTAACTTATTAGCCAAAATTATTGCAAACTCAAAAACAGGTAAATGTAACTGACACTTAGATTAGCTAAATAACATTGAACACGCTAATATTTAGCCTAAAATGTAGCTGAAAAACAACATAATACAATGGAAATCTTAGCCAATAAAGCTTAATAATCAGTCAGAGATTATTTTGTGGGAAAATAGAAAACTCAATAAGAGATTAGAATTTAAAATCACCTAAAAGGGTAACTCAGAAAAACAAATTGCTAATCAAACTAGGCAAAATATCCAAAATGGCCTTTAAAAATATCAAACAAAAGGTGCATTTCCTGTGCTGGTGTATGGAGTAATTTAAGTTGCTGTGGCCCGTGGCTACCTGGTGTAACATATGATCTGGTCTCCATGTGTGGAATCTCTTTCCACGTCACAGGGGACTGAGAATTTGTCTGACACCAGAGTTACACGGTTACCAAACGTGTCGCTTTGAGGATTCAGCTGGAACTGGCGCTCCTGAGCAAAACCTTAAAAAAAAGGAAATTAAGAGAATTTATTGTTAAGGTACAATTGACATTTAAATATTTTTAAAACAACTTTTAAACAAAGTTGTTTATACGACCAAGTTTTTAACCAATCGTATTTCAGTCATCGGACAGTGTGTCAGACAGGGTGAAAGTGCTGTTTTTTTTTTTAACAAATCAGATTTTTTGTTGCTACATTAAGGCCTTCGCAGCCGGTGTATGTTAACGTCAGCGATTTAAGTGCTTTGATTGGATAGTCAAATAACATCAGTCTGGACGTTTGGAAGTTTTCTCTGCGTCCACTGCTTCTGTCAAGCGGACATTTTTCGGCTTGAGGCAAATTTAAACTTGTGCCATAAACACAACAACAGGATAAACTCGACTGTCGACGGTAACATGGAGGCGAAAAAAATACTTGTTGTTCGAACAGCGACTCACGGATAATCTATACAGAATAACAGTAACAGAGTCTTCTTTTTTGTATACAAATAAGCTGACGTTTTAGTGAGTAAATAATATATAATTTAAAAAAAAAAAAATAACTTGGGGGGGTTAATATAGATAAAATGGCGTATTATATATATATATATCGATTTTGATGTAATAATGACTTTGTAAATTGTGTAATTTGTGAAGTAATTACCTTCTGCATTGTGTGTTAACGCACATAATGGCTGCAATAACAGGGTTTGTTTAGAGAGCGGCATGTTTTGTTATCAGGCATATCAACACATCAGTATCCAATTATTGTAATTGTTTTATCTATATATATGTATATAAACGGTGTGTGAATGAATGCCTCACCACTCCCTGAAATTGTCAGATGTTGCGCCCCCTCCTTGCTGCCAACACGTGGGGTTATGTAGTTAATTTGTTGAGCCCCTGAAGTAAAAGAAGGAAAAAAAAAAAAACATTAGGAAACTACAAGATGAGCCGGTGATTATTTATTCTTCTTCTGCTTGACTCACGGCAGCAGCACCACAGGGTGAGCAGAAAAGCCGAGGTTTTAAACGCTGACTCCATGTTCATGGAGCTGCTCTGGTGCTCCACCTACAGCCTGAGGTTGGGAGGTGACGCCGTGGACGAAGTGGTGGAAAATTTAACCTCCGAGCACAAAACAAAGAACTAAATAAAAATTAACCAAAGACTTAAAGAAAAAATAATGCAATTGGGAAAAACCTTTAACTAAATAGTTTAATAGAGATTCGATACGTTTCGCAATACAGGATGTGATATATTGCGATATATTGTGATGTACTGCGATAGTATTGTCACAAGGATATTTTGAGATTTTTAAAAAAAAACCTTTAACTGTAGGAAAACTTCAAACATTTGTAATTGCTAGAGCAGATGTAATAACAAAATAAAATGAACTAACCTAACGAATATTTTAATGTTAATTGTTAATAAAAAAATCAGTACAGTGCTGTAGAATATAGAATTATGATTAGAAATAAATATCACAATAATACAGTGTATCAATATTAAGAGTAAAAACTCTACCTTCTGTCAGTGAGACAGTGGGGTTAACTGGTCACTCGTCTCTGGTGTGCTGATACACACACACACACACACACACACTCTCGCTCATGTACACAAACACACATTGGCTGTAGAGTGCACTGACTCCTCCACTTTATACTGCTGCTCCTTGGTCCGCCCTGTGGGTGGTGCCTGCACAGATTGAATCATCACATTCACCTGCATTGTTACCAGTAGCAGCACCACTGTAGTCTGTAATCAGCTGTCATCACACGTCAAACTAAACACATAAATAACACACTGATAATACTGCATATGTGATACAGTGTTAGGAAAAAAAAATTTGTGTTACAAAAAAGTGGAACTTGAAGAGTATGATGATGAAACCCTTTAAAAAAACATATTAAACTAAATAAGTATGATTTATTTTGTCACAATAATAAATGTATTTAAATTAATTTAAAAATTAAAGTTTTAAATTTAAATATACCAGCAAAGCAACAGGGCTGTATACAGAATATATTAAGAATAAACTTGTCATACAGCGTTGATGCCTCAGACATTTTGCTCATTTCCTGGGGCACAAAAATCACCAAGAGCAGAGTATTCTCAAAATACAGTATGTAGAGAATTAACTTAGGTTTGAAAAAACAATATGTGAAAAAAATATATTGGAGAAAATACAAATAAATAATTTCTGGGGTTTTTAAAAAGGGGGTTCTAAAAGTAAAAAAACGTTACATGGTCAGCTGAAAAATTAGCCAAATCATAGTTAAATGTTAGCAAACATTTACATAATTGTTTAATTTGGATAAAAAGACAAGACAAAAATACAAGACAAAAAACATAATTATAACATATAGTTGTCCAGAACCGTTTCATGGGCCCACTGATGGTAATCCATGGACCTGCTCAGGTTCCTCAGACCTCCATTTGAGAACCATTATGACAACATATACAAATCAGAACCTCAGCAGTTTTTTTTTTGGTACTTCAGAATCTATCATGAGAGATGAGTGTGTAGTGTGTAGGACTTGACTGTAAATGACATCACGTGTTGTGTAAGTTGTGATGATGTCATCCACACTCAGGTTGTGTAACTCCGCTCCTCTGGCTGCTTCTGGTAGACCAGTCCAGTTCCACGTCTCCTTTGTTAAACACTGGAGCAGATCAAGTTTCCTGGTCCCTGTATTTGACGTGCTTTCACATTTATGACAGTGCTGAGCACTCAGGTGCATTCTGGGTAAAAAAACACAAAGAACAAAGAAGTCCAAACGCCATATCCAAAAACAATTGGTTGACTTTGGTAGGTTAGAGCCAGCAGAGTACACAGAGTACACAAAGTACTCAGTAAGAAACCTGAGTTGTCTTCTGTTTTTCAGCGCCCCCTGGCGAAGGCACCTGGTGCTTTAAAAACCGCAGCCTGAGTCTACATCACTAAGTAACATTTTGTAGTGTGTATTACAGTCGTAGGAAGTACAGTCGTTTTAGCATGACGTGATCTGAAGTGTTCGTCAGGTCAGATGGATTGAAACATCTCAAATATAGAAGTGTAAAAATAGCAGTGTTGTATTTTTGGAGGATGTGAAGTAAGAGTTCGGTGACTTCCAGGAGGGAAAAGAGGAACACAGTCCAAAAGACTGAGAATGACTGTCTGTGATTTTACACAGGAATTTCAGTAACAGTCTGTGATTCATGTCTTTTACTGTCTGTTATTAGAGCTGTTTTTAGACTTTAAGTAAGTCTTAGTATTTGTCAGATTAGTATTTGTCAGATTAGTATTTGTCAGAGGGGATGACGGGGGTGCGGGGGGGGCAAATGAAATGCAAAAAAACATTCATTGTTAATAATTATATATAATACTAATCTCATGCTGAATAGACGTAATAATCATCAGAGTCTTTCAGCGAGGAGATCCGTTCAAAAACATTTATATCTGAGGGATTACTTTGCTGTTCGTCAGGGGTGTCAAACACATGGCCTGCGTGCCAAAACCAGCCCGCTAAGGTGTTAAATCCAGCCCAGTTGATGAATTTTTAAATAGCAAAAAATACACAGTCATCAATTATATTTCCTTAAATACAAATAATAATAATAATAAATATCTATTATACTTGTACGTGTTTGCATGAAAACAAAGGGGAAAACATTGACTCATTATAAATAACTTGACTTATTTAAAGTTAATAGGTTATGATTGTACTGGTCCGGCCCATTTGACATCTAATTTGGTTTTATACGGCCAGTGAATTTAGACGAGTTTGACCGCAGGTGTGAATGTGAGTGTGAATGATCGTGTGTTTTTCTGGGATTAGGTCCAGCCTGAACGACATTCCCTGTTGTTTTGGGATTATCTTTTGTGTAATCCCACAGTGTATCAGCTGGTCTGGCATCATGAGGTTTTTACCACCTATCTAACTGGGTTATGTAAGACTGTTGTTGAGACACTCTGTGATTCTGCAGATGTTCCATCAACATCCTGTCCCAGCTCTATGTTGCTGGAGGTTGAAAAAATAATAATTACCGCTTCAAGAAATGTTACCTTTCCTGATGAAACATCCATCAGAACTTAAACAGAACCTGATGCTAACACCATAATTGCAGACCTGTCAGCACCCCCCTCTCCCCCCCCAAACTCTCACTCCTAATATTAGCTCAAACACTACATCATCTCTTTTCTCACGATAACACGTGGATGGAGATGGAGATGGATTCGCTCCGAAGGCAAATTCCTCCAATAGTTTTGAACTCATTACCTGTTCAATGCAGCCTCCACTTAATGTTTTTTTTAAAACTGCCATTTAAAAGTCTTTAAATACCCCCACAATTGTCTCTGTTGACTGGAGAATGCACAGAGCAATCACACATGTGCAGAGTCACGAACACGAGCAGTTATGTCGTTCAGCTGGTTCACACGATGATGCAGAATGTGTGTGTGTGTGTGTGTGTGTGTGAGAGAAATGCTTGCCGCTGCCACTCAAGATATTTAAAAAAAAAAACATGATGCTCCATCAGGGTCATGAACCCCCACATGCTCAAACACGGACAAGGTTTTTCTCAAAAAAATGTTGTTTTTTTTTCTCAGGGTAGGTTTAGTGAGAGACGCCGAAATAATTATATGTACGAAGGTAAAAAAACAAAAAAAACTTTTTATATATATTTGTTCAAAGACTTGAACGGCAGCAACTCTATAATCATGATAATTAGGGATATCCGGTAATATTGCCCATATTAGCATAATTCTGTAATATTGGTAGGAACAATTGTGTAACCTGAAGATTTGATGTGAAAATGAAAGTGAATTATTGTCATTGTGACAAATGTCTGCATATATCGGTTGATATCGGAATCAAATATAGATTTTTTGGATTGTTTTAAAAAAAAGTTAATATGGGACAGCCCTAATAATAATCATAATTGTTCTTAAAATATCTAAAGTTGACTCTACGTTAGCCATCTCTCAACCTTACCCACTAAATGTCAGCAGAGGTCGAGGTAAATTATCCTTAAATATTTTTTTCTCTGTAATAGATATTAAAATGAGGAAAAACAAACAATAAAACTTAGTGCAAAAAATACTAATGTTACCTAAATCAGCAAGGTTAAACATTAATATTATATATTCATATTTTTAATGCAATAATCAATCCATCAGACAGGACCACAAAATAGTCATGACTTTATTTCACTTTTTTTGTCCAAAAATGCTGCAAAACAAAGTAAAATACATATGAAAACACATGATACCAAAACCAAAAAATATACAACACATCTGTGATGCTCAGATTGAGAACAAACAATATGAGAGGTGGATTTATAACATGTTAAAAAAAACAACAAAACAACAACAACAAAGAAAGCAACGGGGGAAGAAAAATGAAAAACACTAGACACGTAGGCTGTCGTTCACAAGGTGGCGTGCTGAGCCAGAAAGGCTCTGATTCGTGTCAGGAGCTCCTTCTTCACACTGTCTGGTACCAGTGCTGAGGAGGAGAGAGGAGAAAAGAAACAACAAATTAGAGCAGTACCCTCTAAAAAAACAACTAAATAAATAAATAAAAAAAGCTCGAGATGCAATTGTACACAACAAAACATAATAATCTAACCTGTTCAATATTCAGAGGAGCTAAACAATAATGACAACATCTTATTATTCACTGATTTCCTGTAAGCCGTTGGTCTTCAACATGGAGTCCACAACCCCATAGGGAGTCCACAGAGCTGCAGCACGGAGGTCGTACAATTTTTGGTTGATTCGATTTTTTATTTTTCTTTCTCCAAAAATCAAGTCACGTTCAGTTCAGTGAATGTATAGAAGCATTAAAACCAGTTTAACACTGTGTCACCTCGCATTAGCACAGAAAAAGAAGCAGCCGACAAGATGCTTCTGTCATCACTGCAAAGACAGGTGATGTGATGTCACCTCAGACCAACCAATGAGCTCCGTCTGCAGAAAACACAGCGCTCACGTGTGTTCTAAACAAACTGTCATCTGTTCGTTTGATTTAAACATAAACATGGAATATCACATGCATGAAAACCCAGGGCTCGCAGTGACAGTAACAGCCGTACCGTACACAAAAGAATATTTTTCTTTTGCATTCTTTCAAACAGATAGGAGTGTAGTCTGCGTCCTCCGTGTCTCAGTGTGCAGCGAGGACTGCCACGGATCAAAGGCAGAGATAAAAATCACACAGACGGCAGCAAACGTAATCCACATTCACTTTGTTGCCGTGTTAAATATTTGTTGTTGTTGTTTTATCAGTTCTGGTAAAATGATTCACACGTTCAGACCCAAGTGACATTCTGATAAGGTCTTATCTGGTATAGTTTGGAACTCTGTGTTCTCTTTGGGTGAGCGTCCAAGCACAGACAGGGACAACAATGTAAACACCAACCTATTCCATATAGTGTATTTAGATATTCTATAATGTTGATTTAACGTCCATTGACAAGGGATCAATGAACTGAACATTACCTCTGCCTTTTGGCGTGACTTCTGTCACCAGGTCTTCCACTGTGACGTGCTCCAGGCCTTTTTCTCTGATCACATCTGGACACATGAGATGAGATCAGAGCAAAGATCACGTTGTAGGTCAAGGACAATAGAACTAGAAAAGTATTTCAAAAATGCTTTTACACAGAATAGTGATTTTACGGCAGCATTTTAAGCCAACATTAAAAAAAAAACCTTTGCAGTGAGCTTTCAGCTGGTCCTTCCATCCACACTCCACCAGCTTGGCCCGCAGCAACTCCTTTAGGCTGCGAAGTAAAAATAACAGTAAGATACAAGTGTTTGGTTTTATATCATTCACGGACAAATCACTGCAGAGGGAACAAAGATAAAGTGCCTTACCGCTCCCGTTCTCCCATCTCAATCAGCTTCTGGTTTATTGCAGCCCTCATCTGTGAGTCTTTGCTCATGATCTGGCAGGAGAACCGATCAAACACAAATGTTTGTCACCTTAAGTGTAAAAAAATCTAAAAATGCAGCAACACTCTCGTATTACTATGGAATTCCACAAATCGTTACCTTTTGTCGGGTTTAATAAGTCGAGGGAGCACTCTGTCCCTTCTCATAAGCGTTCCGGGGAGATCGCTATCTAATAACGTCGTTCCGCGTCGTAATAATAAAAACAAAATGATACGAATTTGAAAGATATTCCCTTTTTACATTACAATTATAAGAAGACTTTAACAAAACTTATTTTAAAAAATAAACTAATGTAATCCAATCACTGTAGAAATAATAAAGGGAGATAAATTGTTCTGTCTGGTCCGTTGTCAAATGAGTCCGTGTTGCACAAAACCGGAAACGTGTGTCATTCTCGGCTTCTCCACTGTTTTATTTCGGTTTGGCAGTTTGTTAATAATTCCCTTAACGAGTGTGTCAAAACCGAAAAGCCATGGCTGCGGCTAACTATTCCCTGAAAGTCAACAGAGACCTGCTAGACCCCAACTTTGAAAGTTATCGTTTATCCCTGGATTCTTTACCGACTTACAGCGTTGAGCTCGATGCAGGTGAGAGAAACTCACACTTCGTTATATGGTCAAATAGAACAAACTATTTACAGACAGTTTACTAATAACTTAAAGTAAGAATTACTCCGTTAATACTGGGCAATACTGTATATACTCTAGCTGTAACTCAGTGATTTAAATTGTAGTTCAATGCCAACTGTCACTGGAAATGGGGCAGTGGTGGCTTGGTGGTTAAGGAAGAGAACTTGGGTCTGGAAGGTTACAAGTTTGAGTCCACCAGCTGCCAAGTTACCACTGAGGTGCTCTGAGGATGGCCCCGCCCCACAGAGGTCACATTTGGTTGTATGCAGTGATGTGCTGTGTCACAATGTCGCACCTTCCTTTCCTCTCCTTTCCTTGAAATGGTTTCTAATAATACAAGTGTAAAGAGTCAGGCAGCATGTCGTCGAAACAAAGTCATAAAAAGGTAAAACTCAATAATTAATTAGTCTTACTTGTTTAAAAAATAGGCCTATTTTTTGCCATGCCATCTTTTTTTATTGTTCATTAATAAGAAACATTTCAAACAGTAGCCTCTGACAGATGCCAAAGTTTATTTGTGGGCGGTAACAACAGCCCACTCAGCTGCGTGTTGTGTGTGACAGTAATTTTAGGATTAACACTGACTGACAGGAAGGTTTTAATGTTGATTGAGTCATGTCTTTTCTAACGGTGCCATTCCTTTCATTGTCTTTCAGCGGTGGCGGAGGTGAAGTTGAAGGACACCCAGTATACCCTGGAACACCTGCGTGCTTTTGGCATGTACAATTACCTGCACCTCGACCCCTGGTATGAAGACAGCGTGTTGTTTGTGGACTGCAAAGGCAGAGTTGTCAGTCTCACAGTGACTCTGGTAAGCCTTTAATTTCTCCTGGTTTTTCTTCAACGTGTTCTTGCTGCTTGTACAACACGTGCACGTCTTAATTGCTACTTGTCAACATGCTGTACTGAGCGCAGCCTCGATTGTTCAGGACAAAAATGCTTATTGTGTTGTGACAGCAGGGATTATTGCTGGGTAAATATTAATACACCTGTCACACCAGTAGGTGGTGATCTAATACTTGTGTGGTTCAGGCATTGGTCATTATGGCTTCATTGGCAGGAACATCTTTGTAAACTCTAATGTTAACATTTTAACACCAAGCTGTTCTGAAGGTCAGGTCAGGTCAGGGCTGAGGTTTTTGGAAAAAGTAAAATAAATCAGTGAGTTGTTGGGTGGTGTTTATGTGGGAAGACAAAGTGCAACACAAAGTTAGACCTAAGTACTGATATTTTTTTACTGCATAAATATTTTTTTCAAAGCTAAATAAAGACATAAAATGGTAAATAAGCAGTGTCTAAAAGTGAATGTCATATAATTATGCCGTAGTTTTTCCCAAAAATACAAACTTTGCTACAGTATATTTGTCAGATCATGTAGACACCAAATCATCTGTGCATGTCTCCTCGTTACTTACTACTACTTTGGAATATTTATGCCTATTATTTGTAGGTTAAAGAATGGGGCTTATATTCAGAGGGTTGTGGTTGAAATCCTGACCCTGGACAGTGGCAGTCCCCCGTCCCGTCCCCCCCTGAACCCTTTGTTCATTACCAAAGTACAGCCCACTTCTCCTGTCACTAGCATGACTTAGTTGTTTAAATTTTTACTTGCTCAATAGCAGCCAGTTGTCACGGCAGTTGTTACGACAATGCCCTCTTGTGGTCATTAATGGTATTATGTATACATGTTATACATAAGTTGCTGTGGTATATAAGGGATTGGGACCAGATAAGCACTAAACATTATTGTGCAGAAAATGCAGTAGCCCATTAATGGTATTACGTATACATTTCATATATAAGTTGCTTTGGTATATAAGGAACATTATTGTGCAGAAAATGCAGTAGCCTGTTGTGTAATATTTAACCAAAAATGTATTTTTCTTCTTGAGAAAAAATCCTCCTTAAAAAAAAAGCCTTTTCTACCTTTTGTTAGTGAAGGCCATAATAACTGACTTGGTTTTTGTTTTTTGTTAACCAGACATTCTCTGAATGTCCTTTTTTCACCAAGACTTCTTGGTGCGTCTCCATCATTGTTGGACATGATTAAAGATAATTACTGCTTTGTGAGTTGGTTCTTTTTTTTTTTCCAATAATACATCTACACTGTCCTGAAAGACCGCCATCAGACAGTGATTTTTTAGCTTTCAGTCACATCATGAATCGACTCTTTATGGAAACGTGTTACCTCAGATTCTAATTACAATCATCACATGATAATTATCGTCCCCCGGCGGCAGCCTTTTGTGTCTCTGCTCATTGGGTAGTACAGTACAGGGTTTATTCTCTCTGTTTAGGACGCTAACAGCACTGACGGTGGAACCAACCACCTCCAAAGGGCATCATACGCAAGGGTACATAATACACCGTGTCACGCACCATGGTAACAAGAAGACGACTGCTGCACAATCCATTTTCAGACTCTCTTACATCAGGCAGTGATGAATGGAAGTTCATCAGTGTTTGTGTATCTGTTTGTTACTAATGTGATCCAATGCTGAGCCTGAATCACCGCCAGGTCACATTTGCATCCACGTGACGGCTGCAAACTTTGCTGATGAGCACACGCTGCTCAGTTTGTGTTTCAGAGTTGTTTTTTCCTACCGAACGGTTTGATTTTAGTGACGTCCAGGAAATGATCCTCCGATGGATGTTCTCCAGTTTCGACTTTGCTCATTGATTTTTCTCAGCGTGGCCTCGGCTGATATAAAAGCACTGACCTTTCTGTGCCTTTTCTATTTCTCACTGTTCGGCATTTGATTCTGTGTGAGTTAGACTGCGCTGCTCAAATTAAGTTTTTTTTATATATAAACACTTGTATCAACTTAAACTTAAACTTAAAAACTTAAACTTATCTTTATTTGTCATTGTGACACAGCACAGCACAGCACACCATGCACAACAAAACGGCAGTTGGTGGATTCGAACCTGGGGCCTTCCGGACCGAAGTCCGCTTCCTTTACCACTAGGCCACCACCACAACATGTCATCTGTCACGTGTTCTATTGGTGTTAAAGCTCTGCTCACTTTCTGTTCAGCTTCTGGAGTTTTCTTTTTGTGCTGGAAGTGTCAAATAAATTTTTGCGAGCCAATATTCCATAAATAAACTTAGAGTGTATTTGGTTGGTGTTTTTCTGACTTAACTTTTTGACCTTGTCATACCAGGACACTGCCCTCACCAAGCCCAGAGAGGTCTTCTGTGTACCTGCTGAGCCCAGCCGGTGTGAAGACGGCGTCTGCGCCTCCCTCAGCCTCACCTCCTCCACCTGGGCTGCTCTGAGCGATGGCCACGGCCGACTGCTCCTCCTGCGCACCGGCAAGAGAGGAGACAGCTCACATTCCAAGTGGGAGGTTAGTGTGAACCAACAGACGGGGAGTAACGTCATCAAAGTGGTGAAGTCATTCAGGTGGACGATAATGTCACGTATTCGTCACCTTGTACTGGCCTCTAATGGTGAATAAGTGGAAGCGCGTAATACTTGACTAAATTCTAAGTTAGGTTCCAAAGTAAAAGGTACAGAAAGTACCAATGAAAAAATGTGACATTTTGGTTTCTAATAATTTGTTAAATTGATAATGGTTTTCCAGAATGTGTAAAATAATAATAATTATTATTGATTGATTAAATTTATTGTGCACAATGTATTTTTGTTGCCAGGTAAAATAGTTTAGATTTTTCTAAATACATTTCCAGACCTGCTTCTCTACATGAACATAAAAGTGTGAATAATTTGTGTCCTTAATCAACCAATCAGAGAGCTTGTTCAGAAACCCCACCTGTTGCCTATATTTTAAATACAATTATTCTTCAGAGGATCTGTGTCAATGCAAATTTAAGATTTAATTTTTCATCCCCAGCTCTCAGTGTTTTAATTAGTTTTTTTTTACATGAGAAATAAACATTTTTTTCCACTCCACTGCGTCCTGCTAACAGGCCTACAGTTGGGATTTGCTTACAAATAAGCATTCAAGTGCACTCCATGCTCATGTTAAGTTCAATCGCATCGCGCTCCCCGTGGGGCGACATTTTGTTTTTATTTACAAATCGGCCTTTATTTAACTTCAGAACGAATGAATTAGCATCTCATGAATTTGCGATGTCGTTTCCTGCCGCTGCAGCCTGGTCACATGACTGTTGTATGTTGCTGGTTTCGCCCGCAGCCTCTGTTCAGTGAAAACATGGGCGAGCCTTTCATCGTCCTCCACAGCGTCTCACACGTCCAGGCGGGAGTCCACGCCATGGAGGTTCTGCTGCTCGGCATCAGGAAAGACCCGGAGGAAACCAAGGGGAGTGAATTCTCTGTGAACCTGGAGTGGATCACAGTGACCAACACTGAAGGACAAGGTGGGCGCTGCACCCGCAACCTCCAGACATATTCATCAAGTCACAGAAAAGACATTAGTTTTACTTTTAAACCTCCAGCCTCTCTGACTTACACTAACACTCATGAAGCATTTTTTAATTACCTGGAAGTTGATGATCCTTCAGTTCAGTTCTTGACTAATTAAAAAAAAAGTAAATCCACATGTTAAACCACACCCTCTTAATTTATATTAGTTGGAAAACATTTTTTTTTTTAAATCAATTAATCGACATTTAAGGTGACCCCAAATTAAGTCACGGCACCAAGGTTGAAAAACATTCCACAAAGTAAAGGTTACGAATCATTGGTGCTTATTGTTCATTGACTGTGAGTTAATGCATGAGTAATTGGATGTAATGATCTGTATTGCCCACTGGGGTAAATAGTATTTGAGCTCTGGTTCTTAGTTCTAGTCTGAGTAAAAAAAAAGAATTTATATTTGAACCAAATAATGATGAAAGAGAAAATGGTTTGAAAACAGTTTGATGGATGAGTGACTTCACAGATTTTCTCTTCAGACTGTGGCCAAATGACCAAATGACTAAATGACCGTCCGATGTAATCACAGTATCATTTGTTTCCACTCCCAGGTCAGGAGAAGAAATATGAGGTGAGGAAGAGGAGGGTCCTCAGGGGGAAGTCGGTGCCGCACTACGCCGCGGTGGAACCACAGGGCAAAGGACTAATGGTGGCCTCGGAGAAGCCGTTTGTCTTCACCAGCGTGGACGGCCGTCCCGTGGAGCAGCCTGAGCCGGAGCCCATGGAGGAGGAGGAGAAGGCAGGTGGGTCAGAGGTGCTGCTGGGAAATACGATATCATGATGACAAAAATCATGGCTTTCACAGAAGTTCAAGAGTTGAAACCTCACATTTATAAAAAAAAAAAAACATAAGGAACATCATCTTCCTGAGTCACACTTCAGTTTTTCACCAATAATGAAGTTTGTGATTTTGTTTTTTTTCTTAAGAACAGCGAACATTTCACTTTGTGTCACTGATAGTTTATAACAGAATTCCTGTTCTCCCTGTGTCTCTGCAACATTCCAAAAAAGATTGAACATCAGTTTATCTTACAGTTCAGACTCAAAACCATCAAAGTTCTTTCTAAAAATCTGCTGCGTTGTGACCTAAAAATACTCTCTATAAAAATACTTTTCTTTGGAGCAGATGTGAACCATGTCATGCTGCGTAGGTAACATAATTGTAACCAAACAGAGAGGACTGATATATTTTTTTGTACTCAGACCTAGACCTCGGTGTCGTTCCTCTGTTCTGTGAACGTTGTGGTCCACGTGTGGTCATGTGACCTCCAACCAAAACCATTTCTAAACCATCTAAGTAAAAGAGAGTGAGACCTGCAGTTTTTTCCATTCATTACACGGACCGCTGACCTGCACATCTGCTCTCAGCGGCACCAGCAGCAGCTCACTCTTCACTCTGTCCTTCTGTGTCTGACAAATGATGGTGGTTTTCATCACCAGCGAGCACACGGTCGAGCCATTATCACCGATGAGAAGGAGGAAGAACCGATCGATGAATCAGACCAGACCAGACTGTAGAAACCAGTGGTTAAATCACAGACATCAGAAATGCCACCGGTGTCTTTGAGACACTAATAAGAAACCGACCATGTTTTAACACACTTTTACATTAATATGTAACAGGACGTCAGGTCTGTTACTGAATAAAACCCACCGCCCACGTTCTGACAGAAACGCTCTTTATATAAATGTGGTTGATGATGAACGGCCATTTCTAGATTTAATTTAATTTAATTAAAAGCAGTAGTTCATAAAAACAACCCTGGTCATTTTGTCAACCTCCAGAGTCATTTAAAAAAAAAAAAAAAAAAAAAAGACTCAGTCAGCACTTGGCTCAGATCCACGTCACTAACGCTCACGTTATTCTTGGCCTGCGGCCCGATCGCTGCACCAAACCACACTGGAACCTGTTAAGTGGTGTTGAAAAATCTCATTTACACAAACAGGTAAAGTCCCTTCAGCTTCGCTATTGATTCTCAGCAGCAGTGACAAATAATCAATAAGTGTTACTGGTTTGAAATGTCTGGAACCGAGGGTTGTTTGTTGAGCATCGTTCGCAGTCGTAGTCGTCAACGACGATGAACTACTGCACGGGTTTGGTCATCCAACCACTGACATCCAACCACTGACATCCAACCACCCAGAAGGCATTGCTGTGATTCTTGGTTCCAAGACATTTTCTTGTGAAAATAGAATCCAAGGCTTTTATTTGTTTCTGAGTTTTGAAGATCTATAGTTTTCAGGCATTTTTTAACTTTTTACCGATATTGTCCAAACATTTAATTTCCAAGTCCAATATTTGCGGTTGTTAGCCCCAAAAACTCTAGTAAACGTCCCAGGAAAACCCAGGTAATTGACTTTTTTATTATCGAAGGAAAACCAATAACGATTCTTATATATATGTTTGGCGGTGGTGGCCTAGTGGTAAAGGAAGCGGACTTCGGTCCGGAAGGCCCCAGGTTCGAATCCACCAACTGCCAGGGTACCACTGAGATGCACTGAGCATGGCATCGTCCTCAAGCACTGCTCCCCGGGCGCTGACCACGGCTGCCCACTGTTCACTTTGCTGATGGGTTAAATCCAGAGGTTAAATTTCGTTGTGCATGGTGTGCTGTGTCACAATGACAAATAAAGATAAGTTTAAGTTTTATATATTACGTAATTATGCTAAAATCTGGCTGATATCGGTCGGCCCATATCTCACATCCCTAACGAACATAAATGTTTGACTGTTAATTGTTAATAAGAAAACCGGTACAGCGCTTTAAAATATTGATACGGTATTTTGAGACAAAATATTAGTATCAATATTTTCTTGCGCCCCTAGTGGTTGCACCACAGAACTTTAAAAATGAGGAAAAACTCTTAAGAGCCATATTTTACACTGACAACTCGAGGTCTTCTTTATTTCCTGAAGATAATCCTCACACATGAGGAACGTCAGTCCATCCGTCCCGGCTCGTCCTTGGAGGCTGGTGTCGTGTACGGGATATTAAATGATTTACTCAAACAGCCTTCCTGTCTGTGGTGTCGCTGAATATTCATCTGTGATTTACACCCGGCGCCGCGTGCCTGTAGATGTTTGTGTGTGCGACTCAGAAACAGCTGGCAGGGGGCGCTCATTAACTTTATTACCTTGGATTTCTCTCTGAATCCAGATCCCATTTACTTCTGGCAGCAGACGGCCGAGGACATCACCGTTTGCGTGCGCTTGCCCGAGGGTGTCACCAAAGAGGAGGTGCAGTTCCGGCTCACCCCAGACAACATTAGCATCGCGGTGCAGGGATTCCCCCCGTTACTGCAGGGTCAGACGTACGAGTCCGTGGACCCAGAGGCCAGCGCTTGGATCCTGAAGAACGACAAAAGGTTTGTGGTCAGTCTCAGATCCATCCATCCATCCATCCATCCATTTTCATCCGCTTATCCGTTACCGGGTCGAGGGGGCAGCAGTCGCCACCCAAATCACATTGCACCGTACCAAACCTTCCTGTGGGTGGTGAGTCCAACAAAGGTGGTGAGTCCACTCTCATATCACGACATGTTAATGAGACTGATATGAGAGTTCTGATTAGTCTTGTTGTCATAGCTTAAACACGAGGCTCAAGTGTGTGGACACTGTGATTGACAGCTAGTACCAACCAATAGTAGTGCTTTGCTCCGTTCATGCCAGCTTTTGTAAAAATATGTTTTTTCATCAGTTAAATCAGGATAAAAAGAGAACAAGCAAAAAAAACAAACAAACAAACAAACAAAAAAAAACCCTCTGAATTTATGTCAGTGAGTTTTAGCCCAAAAAGACAGAGAACATCTGCAATGTTGAGAAACAAGGTCCTGAAGAGCTTGAAGGACTTGAAGGTTGAGGAGTTTTTTTTTCTCTGAAGTTCTTATATAACATGGATTCACAATAACACGTTAGCAAAACGAGGACACCCAGAGTTGATCGTCTTTGTGTTCATTACCAGAACATCTGAATCCATTCATCCATCAGTCGTCAACACGAGTTGAGTCACATCCTCATTGAATAACCTTTCCCTTTCGCTTCTTTGTGAGTTATTTCCTCTTCGCTGTCCAGCGTCGGGACATATCGTCGTGCGGGAACTTTGTTTGTCGTGTTCCGATCAATGTTGCAACGTTCGAAGGCTGCTGTGAGACTGAGAGAGAACGTTGGACAACGAGCGTCCACCCCCTCTGCTCTGTTTACGTGTACTTCCTTTTAGTATTCTTTCATCCTGCTGCTCCAGCTCAGATGGATTTAATAACATCATCTGACCTTCGGTATGTGTGTGTGTGTGTGTGTATATATATATATATATATATACACTGTATATATATATGGGTACATACTGTTTATGTTACTGATTAAAAAAACATCACGCGCATATGTTGATAGTATGGCATCGAAACAAAATGCTAATGAGACTCCTCATCCATGCATGAATGTGTTGTTGGGATGCAAATGTACGTGGAGAGGCAGAGCGCGTCCGTGCTGCCTGTGGACTTCATCTGGACGACCGTTTTTGTCATCAACATACACACAATGAGAGCTCATAAAACAGACGCAACACTCCACCAACACTGCAGAGGGGGCGGTTTCCCAGCGTCCAGGAGTTCTTTCCTCTTTCATAGATCTCACAGCTGAGCACCGAGCGCCGTCCTTCTCTTCTTTGTCCACAGCTGAATTAGCCAGCGGCCCCTCTTTTGTGTTGTGTTGCTCTCACGTGGTCTTCTGCAGATTTGCCACTTGTACTTGTACGTGATTTCTACGTCGGCTCAGCGAAGATGCATTGATTTCGGCTGCTGAAGTTGTTTGTTCTTTGAGATTGGAGCTCAGACGCTGAGGCAAAAAAACAAACAAACTGTCTTTCTATCAGCAGACGTGTGTCTGAACCTAAAGACAAAAGACAGCAATTAAAGTTTTTGTTGAAGGAGAAGGGGAAAAAAAACTGGGATTGTCAGTGTTTCCACATAGACTCTCTGTGACCCTGGGTTTTGTCTGCAAGGCTCAGACCCAGAACCAGTGAGAAACAGATTATTGTAAAAAAAACAAACAAAAAAACAGCAGAGCTGTTGTGTGATGAAATCATTGTGTCCTCAGCCTGGAGGTGACTCTGCAGAAACGCAGCGAAGGGTCCATGTGGCCTGAGCTGGTGATGGGAGACTCCAGGGGAGAGTTTGTGATGAGCGACGACCAGGCGGCCATGATCCACGAGAGACTGAAACACCTGACCTCCGAGGAACTGGTGAGGTCACAGATCGTGATGGAACAAGACTTTTATTTCTAACGTCATTTTCTCCACTCTGAAACTTTGGTTTAAGTTAAAGAAAAAAAACAAACAATTCAAATCGTTAACACTGCCACCAACAGGCCTCACTCTGGCTATTACAGTCTCCATGATCATCAGCCCTAATGGTTAAACGTCACATAAGGAGTGGAGTCCAACATTATTACTGTCAATTACACAAGTAATTAGTTGCTGATTGTTCTTAATTAACTTATCATTCACTAAATGAACTTTAAGAATGAGATTTTTCAACCTTCCAATAATAAACTTGTTATGTCAACAGTCCAAACAAGGACGAATCTGGTCAAGAACATACAACATAAAGTCCTACGACAACGGCTGAACTTTATAAGCTGTCGGTCGATCACTGTATGACACAACAGGTCTGAAGTTAAAGACCTGTGTGGGACAAAAAATATTAGTTTTTAATTTTTATTTTTTATTCTAAGTTCATTCAAAGCTGCAAACAGAATAAATGTCTAGATTCTTTACAACACGGCCGTTTTCTCCAGAGCTTCACATATTGACTTAATTGAGTTTTCTCTCTCTATCACTCTCTGCCTCTCTCTCCCTCCCTCTCTCACCGTCACGTTCCTCTTCAGCTGCTCTGAGACCTTCTCCTTCGACTGCTGGTCTTAGCGTTGATCCTGGTTTAATGTATTCCAACAATTTAAGCTGCTGTCTGTCTGTCAACCCCACCTCCCCACGGGTATCCTCCCCCTCCTCACCCACTCCCCAAGACAAACCCAAGCTTCTCCGTGACGTGTGCAGCCACAGCCTCAGGTCCAACTTCCTGTTCTTCCTTTTTTGTGCAGAACACTGACAAGGACCGACCCCCGTGTAGCGCTCAGGAGCTGGAGGACTGTGACGTGGTCCAGGAAGAAGGCTCCAGTCTGACACACTTTGACGGAGAAACACTCAAACCCACTCAGGTGGTGAGTAACCTGCCCTCCCTTCACACACACACACCCCCCTCCCTCCCCCTCCATCTCCCCATCTGCCTCTTGTACTCACTTTAACGCTCAAATCTCCCCGGCTTCGCTGCTGCTGTTCCAGATTGTCGTTAGTTTCAGCTTCAGCCTCAGCCTCAGCCTCCGTTCCTCAGCCCTCTGAAGTGCTCTGCAGCCTGACGCTCAGGGTCCGTGTAGAGGAGCGTGTTTTTGTTGAGTGAGTGGAGCGGCCGGCCTCCTCCACCTGCTGCTCCACCGCGGCGTTGAACACAAAAAACACAGGAGGAGGAACGGAGGCTGCGCCTGAAAACTCTGACATCTGAGAAAAGAAAAAAAAAAAAAAGAAACTCCTTTGTCGATCATTCAGGGTCGTCTGTGATGTCATCAAACTTCACTCTGTTGTATAATACAGTGAAGTACTTTATCTAATATTACTAGAACACAGCGTACATCTTGTCCCGCTGAAGTATTTTGTACCACACCACACTAAACTTTACTATACAAACAGTACTGTGTTATATTATAGCAACCTGTACCACAGTACTGTATGTCAAGCTTAACCACACGCTATAGTACATTGTGTCTCAAAGACAGGGTCGCGACCCTCAGGTGGGTCGTAAGAGGGGGTTTTTTTGCGTCGTCTCGCATCATGTTTACGAATAATGTCTATTGACTTGAGTCGCCACAGGTTTGTGACTTTTAAAATATGGGTCCCCAGAAAAAAAGTTTGAGAAACACTGGTCTAGACCAGGAGTCCTTAACTTTATTGGGGCCGGACACTGAAATAAAAAACACAAATTAATTTTGTCTAACCTATAATATACTACAGTAAAATGTACTATACTTGTTAATATTAGAGCACCCTTTACTACAGTACGTGTGTCAAACTGGAGGCTCGTGTAACATATTGGTGACAACTATAATAACATACTACTGTACTGTATATATATATACAGTAGAGAATACTTTACTGCCATGTTGGAGTTGGACATGGAAACACATCAGTGTAGTTTACTGTATATCCATCATTCTGTGTTGACTGACTTCTTCTGTGCTTCAGCTGTGGTAAACAACAGGTCACCGTCAGTCTGGCGTTTCCTCCGACTCTGGCGTTTCCTAATCCTCTTCACAGTCTCTGTCCAGAATAAACAAACACAGTCAACAGTCATTATCATCCGTCCTGCTGCTGCTGCTGCTGCGGCTGCTGCTGATACAGGAACAGCAGCTGTGACGGGACGCTGCCCGGCAGTGGTTCTGACGCGAACGCCAACGTCAGCAGATTCTTATGCTGATGATAAGTGATACTTATGGAGTATTGTGATATACGTACTCTCAGATTTTTACTGCGTAGGCAAAGTGCATCGGGCCGTCAGTTAGGTCTGCAGGTAAAAGTCTGTTTGGAGTCACATACTTTACTGTACTGTTAACTGTACTGTACTGTACTGTACTGTACTGTACTAAAGTATATTTCACTGCATTCTATTATACTATAGAATACTTTATGCTGCTCCACAGTATATGTATGTGTATACTGTACAGTTTTTACAGTACTACTGTACATGGTACAATGTTAGTTACATACTATATACTGTGGAGTGTCATATTATACTGATTATTTAATATAATAGTATTTATTATTTTAGTTTTTGCAGTAATAACGTCCAATGAGAATGTGGTGTCAGTTACTTCTTGAAGAACGTTCTTGAAAATGAAGCTAAAATTGAAGATTTCTTTTTTCACCTCGGCTGCTTCTCTGCCTTAAGGCTAAGAAAGTTTTAATTTTGATTTAGTTCAACTCTAAAATAAACAACAAACTGAGGAGAAACTCGGTCTTTAACTGCAGCTAAAACAAACACTGCATCACCAAACTACAGACTGATGGGTTTTTATTATTTCTCTTCACGCGCGTGTTTTGCATTTAGAAAAGATTCAGGTCATTAGTGAACATTAGTTTGGACCCCGACGCAGACGCACTGCTTTTGGTTTTGGCGTCTCATTTGGACGAAATTATGTCTTTTACACAACATCCCTCAGTGAGAGTGGGGGGGGGGAAAGAAAAAAGAAAAGAAAGCCCTTGTTATGTAATGAAAGAGTAATGATGAGCAGTGAATATAAAGCTCCGTGTTTGAGTTCAGGCTGGAGATGAAATGTCTGATGTATAAAAGCTCTTTATGATTCTCTCTCCATTTATTGGATGAAAGCCCCGGCCTGACCGCAGCGTCTGGACACCATCAGCAGCTGTTAGGAGGACGGTTCTGTCCACATGTGTGTGGACACGTGTGTGTGTGCGTGTGTGTCTCACTCGTCCAGGAAGCCTTACTTACGTCTTTTCTTCGCTGCTCTTCTGCTCCCGTTGTATCCGTTGTATAACGCTTCATTAGCTTCTCCGACTTCTTGATCCACGGCTGTAAAAGCTGTGAAATTGCAGCAACTCCTTTAATTTATTGCCTTTGTGACACTTTGGTTTCTGGCCTGTATTGAAGAATAGGTTTCATACGTGTTGCTGACAGCGAGAGGTTGAGTCATATCAGCTGAGTGTATCAGCGACGCCTTCAACAATAGACCTTATCTGGACGTCTGCTGCTGGACGTCTGCTGCTGGACGTCTACAGACCGTGGGCTTCGGGGGAGGTGGAATATATCATAATATCAAAGTTATTAGAATCACATAATATATGAATCACTGGTCATGTATAAAGGAAATATATTTGAACAGGAATGAAAATATGAAGTGAATGGTCATCTCATTAAGAAGTAGATTTTGGCTCCACATTTAGGGATGGATCGATCCGATACTCAGGATCGGTATTGGTCTAAATTTAAAAAAAAACCAACAACTATGTTCTACGGCCGATACCTTAGCCCGGTGGTTCTCAGTTATTTTCTGGCATGCGCCCCCTTGAGTACAGAAATGTTTTCACGCCCCTGTGAATTGAAATACTACTAAGAACCTGCAAACATGTATATTTCTATCTGTACAAAACAACTGTATGAGTTGCTGCCACCTAGTGACTGGAGGCTTGTTATCATTCAAGCATCACAGCAGTGGTTCACTTATATACAGCGTGCCATAATCCACTGGAAGCCCCTCATGCCCCCCTGGCCCCTGCCCCACTATGTGAGAAATACTGCTTTAGCCCAATTGCTCAACTTAAGCCACTATTTGAGAGGTACTGCTTTAGCCCAATTGCTCAACTTAACTTTACACGACAAGTAAACAGTGACACTGTTGCCTTGGCAACGGCAGCTCGCAGCATGCTGGCGGAGAAAAGGAGATCGCTTTGATATCGGTATGATCAGATACTCCGTCCCTAATTCAGACACAATTTGGTCTGGACTGGAGGCCTGGCCCAAGTGTGTTATTGTACAAAGCCAATGTGAGAGGATTCAGGAGTCACACGTTGGGTTGGAGTGTGTGAGGACGCAGACGTGGTGTGAAACCTCTCTGGTTCTCTGACGCTGCAGGACTCTTGTTGCTCCAACGATTTGGTCCAAAGACAAAATCCCTGTTGCCCTTTCGACGAATCGTCTTAAATGAACATTTTTTTCCGTCGCCGTCCTTCGGCTGCGGAGGCGTCTGAGCGTCAGCCTTGGCCGGGGCCGTGACTTCCGCTGACAGAGACTTGACATTTGCGCTGTTGTTATTACACACATCTGCCCTCGGCCTCCGTGTGCAGGTGCGTTCGCTTTTGATTCAGGGAATGTCAGCCTCTCATTTCCTGTCCTCAAAGGATGCAGATGTCTTTGATGATGACAGGCTAAAAGCTTTTTCTTTTTGAAAAACAAACTGAGGTAGAGTAAAATACCATCAGCACAGATACTCTGGATAATTCCACCTAATAATGGGGGGGGGGGGGCAGGCTGTGACCTCACTCTCCATATTTCTGCTAATTGGTCCCTCAAGGTTAATTGATTGTTAATCAAACAGAAAGAACACATTTTGTAATTTTGCAGAAAAGTTCCTTTGTTTCTCTGCTGTGATCATATTTTTTTTATATATTTTTACATTTTCCACCTGCTCGTCTTAAATTCTATTCTCCATTTACACAAAAAAAACAGAGACAAAGTTGAATCGACTTCTCGGCTCGTAGCTGAATTTAATTTTAAAAATGAAAATAGCAACTCTGAGCTGCTGTTACTGTCACTGTTCCTTGAGATCTTTTTCTTGGAAAAAGTGTTCACTGAAATGTAGCGGGGGAGGAGGTGTGTATGTGTGTGTGTGGGGGGGGGCAGTTGAAGCCATATCACCCAGCAACAGGAAGCTGATGGAAAAATAGTTGTAAAATAGTGAGAAAAATTCCAAGTGTTGATTTTTTTTTTTTTTTTTTTCCCATGATCTGAACCAGACATGGATGGACGTACGATGGCGTTAATGAAACACTCACTGCTTAGTCATTGATTTAAGAAGAGAGGTGAGGGAGGGAGGGGGGGGTAGAAGTTCGTCATTCCGTCTTCACTCGGTTCAGCTTTAATATCATCTTTCCTGGCGTCTCCGTGAACTCCCTGACTTTCTTTGGGTTATTATTACACTTCCTACTTCCCGTCTGCACCGTCTGTTATGATGTTATGATGTTTTCACCCACTCTTTTGTGTGTTCCCAAAAATCAATAACTTCTCAAGAATCTCATTTACATTTTTTTTAAAGGTGAAACCAGGAGAAACGTGGGCTTTTTATCAGACTGACCTTTGAGGCCTGATGTTTGAAGACATAGAAAACACGGTGTGACGGATTATTATTATCATTAATGTTCCATTTGTTTTAGAGAAGGTGAAACTTTAGAAATGTTCCTATCTGGTACCACGACATTGTAGTACTACGACATAGTAGTACTATGACGTTGTAGTACCACAGGCAGATCCCTGCTGTTAAGGTTTTCTGTCCACATTGAGCAAATTTTAGGTCTTTGGAGTTAAAAAAAAAAAAAATTGGGGAAAAATGTTGTCAGTTGAAGAGACAGATCTTCATCCACCGGGGCTGATTTTAAGTCCATGAATAAATTATTTTTTGCCACAGCAGTAGATGAAAAAAATACCAGAATCTAAATAATTGAGTAAAAAACGCACAAAAAAGGTTCAGTTTGGTGAAGATGTGGTTCTTGGTGTTTTCTGGTAGAAACTTGTCTCATCACCGTCGAGGTCAATTCTGTGAAACACTGAGTTTTTTGTCACGTCCGTCTAATTGTTTTTTTACTCCTGACTAAAAAAAACCAAAAAAAAAACCCAACTCCTCTGTGTGTGTCATCAGCCCACACTCTGTCGCCCACGTCCCTGGTCTGTGGCCAGTTAAACACAAGTGGCGTGAAAGTGAGTTTCATGTGAGTGGATGATTGATGGTTTGCTAAATGGCTTGTCACAGTGAACAGACCATCAGAACTCCACCAACACAACCACCGACGTCGCAGCGCTGCCCGCGGAGTCTCTGTTAAAACAGACGGGACTCTCGCTGCCCGACAGCCTCCTGAGAGAAGCTGGTGTGTGTGTCTGTGTGTCTGTGTGTCTGTGTGTGTTGACTCAGAGACAGGCATCGGTGTGAACCGACAGATGTCGCACAACGATAGTGTCACAATTCTCTGGCCAAAACAAATTGAGGCGGAGCAGACCAGAATAGAAGCAAACGGCGCGGAGTAGCTGTTGCGTCAGAGACACATTCATCAGAGTGAGCTGACGGAGCAGCCAATAACCACGGCCTAATGACTGGTGATGGTGCACAGGCATCAAGGAAGCTGCTCTCCAGTTAAAGTCACGCTCAGATTGACGACCCAGGGGCGTCTGATTGGTTGATTTTATAACGGAGAACAACACAGAATCTGCAGATAATTTTACAGTGAATCAATGCTCGTGGATTTGGAGTTAATTAGTTTGATTAATGACAGCAGAGCAATGAAAAACATTGGGTTTTTAAACGTTTTTCTTGACTTTTTTTTTTTCACCACCTCCACATGTCTCTTGACGTTTCTCTTGACATTTTTTTTTTCACCACCTCCACATGTCGTCCTGTTCCTCTGTGCAGGTCAGTCTGGGCTGCCATCAGTACCTGTTCACTGTGACCGTGAACCCCGCCGACATGCCCTGTTTCTGTCTCCGTCACGACGTGGACGCTCTGGTTTGGCAGCCGCGTCCGGAGCAACCGGACAACATGTGGGAGCACGTGGCCACGTTTAACGCCCTGGGTAAGAGTCAGGAAAATTAGGAACGTTTTCATGTAATATTATTGGTCGAATAAACATGGGTAACATTGGATATTGTGTGCTAAAGGAGAAGCTAAAGGCTAAAGAAAAATAAAAACAAAACAAAAAGGAAACGTTAGGACACATCGGTTTAAAGGCAGCTTGTGAACTTGCTTGCTGACAGCAAAACAACATATCTTTGCTGCCTTCTTTTTGGAGATGCCGAGAGGAGATCAGAGTTGTGCTCGGACGCCCTCTGCTGGATAATAACGGCACCTACTTTATCTGGTTTATAACCCTAAGCGGAAAAAAATAAACAATACAAAGAAACTAATTATTATGCAGTAATGGTTCAGTGAACTGTTTACTCTCTGGTTCTTAGTTGGACAATTACGTTTCTTTATGTTTTTATAATAATATAATATTTTAAACAGCTGTGAAATACATTCCTTATTTAAATTATATGACCATTTGTCCTCAGAATCTTAAAAAAAACCCACCAGTTTTCTCACAGTCAGATCTTTTTGACAACAGTCGGTGCCTCTCATTCCTTCGAGCTGCTGCAATGTGATGTTTGGCTGAAAGTGAGACGGTTCGGTCCCTCGTATTTACTCATGATAATGCAGTCTCTGGGTGGAAACTGTCCAAGAACAAGCGTTCGATCCAGGAGCAGCCTCACTGGGAGCCATTACTTCTCAAGTCAAATCTTCGGGGGCCGTTCAGATCTGCTTTTATGGCTCTGAAGTTTGAGTTCACACGTTAATGGAAAGAAGAAAAAAAAAAAAACTTTTTTATTGCTCTGCGTCTTTTCGTCAACTGAGGCCGGCAGGATCGCGGGTCACGTCAGACCACATTCTGCACATTTTCAACCATATTTGGTCCAAACGTGACCCGTGTTTTCACGGAGGCTGACAAACAGGTTGTTGATGAAGTTTGTCATTTTATTTTTTTTTAGTTTTTTAGTTATTCTCAGTAAAAAACAACCGGAATCAAGTCGGTGAGCATCTCATCTCCTCCCTTATTTCCAAACTCTCTCTCTCCTCCGCTTCCCCAAACAAACAGTGACAGATTAACTGTCACGGATCATTCTGCTGCCAACCGACTGCACCACCACAAATGGGGAGGGGGGGGGGGGCGGGGCAGCAGCCTCCCCGAGCT